TACTTGGCGGCACACAATACCAAAAGCGTATTGTATAACTAAATAACATAATTGGACACTACCTTATGAACGAAAAAAATACTATTTTAACGAAATCAAGAGATTTGTGTGAGACGCGGAATTTTGATCTCACAGTATGCAAATAGACAGGTATGACTGTATTATATATTTATTTTTGTTTTACCACCTCATCAAAAAAGCCTTTTCCTGGATTACTTAAACTTTTTAACACTACTAATAGCCTTCCAAAATAACCAAATTCCCTTTTAGTCATTGTAATCAACAATACTTCCCCTTGTCCATGTAGCAGTCTAAATCCACCTTCAGTTAATAAACTTTTCTTTACAATATTCATTTTCAGAAGTTCCTTGGGGGGGTTTTTTTTGACCAATTAAAAAAAATAATCTTTTCATCAAATTAGCTACTGCATTACTACGCATTTCATGATTGATTTTAACTACAAATTCCCTTCTTTCCGGTAATAATAATTTAATATATGACATTATATAAAATATAAACCTTTGACTTGTAGTTTTAATGGGAGTTTTTTTTTTTTGAGTAATAACGGTTACATTTTCTTTGCAGAGAATTGAATAGCGTATAACAAACATAAAAAATTTCATTATTTAAACATCAACAAAAATTCATCATTGATTTATTGTGATTCTAACGCTTCAATGATAAAGAATTTTAGCATTCTTCTTTTTCTTTGTTTAATATTTTGTCACTTTTAAAACTTCAAAAATAAAACTTACAAGCACTTGCACCCAAACCTGTATCATGTACTATATAAAAGTCGTTCTACGTATCAATATTGACCAACCTATATTCAGACATTAAAGACAGCTCAAACACATTATTAATTGCGTATTACTATTACGCGTATTTAATTTCAAAGCCAAAACTCGAAAAAAAACATTAACGCAGCTCGTATGCATGTAAAGACAATTTGATTTTTTCATTTTATATAATGGTTTTAATTTGTAAAAAAAAGAAGAGGTGTTTATTGTAATAATAATAATTAGTTTCACACAATTTTATTCATCTCCGGGGCATAGATTTTACATAATTCAGATTGCTGCTTGTATCAAACATTTTTACTTATGTCAAGTGTTTTTAATTACGTCAAGTGGTTTTAATTACGCAAAGTGTTTTTAATTACGTTAAGGGCTTTTACTTTGGTCTCATTGGTCAAAAGTCACACTGCCCTATTCCTTTATATTGGGACTTGTGTTAGTCCTGGTAATAATGATTGTGGAAAAAAATATTCAAAATTTGCCTCGAATGGAAAGATCATCAAAATTTTTATTATAATCTATTTTTTAAAAAATTCAACATGCATTCAACATTATATCTATTTTCTAAACAAATCAACAAAAGATTACAACATATTGAAAAGGCGTCAAGAGGTTTGTTAGGTGGTATAAAAGCAAAATACAAATATCCAATTCTTGATAAACCAAAAAACGATCTTACACAACAACAACCACAAAAAAAGAAAAGGCCAAAGAAAGAACAAAAGGAAAAACCTCCATGGATGGTTATGCATCATTACAAACAAGCGATGAGTGGTTTATATGCAGGCGAAACAATTAAATTTGGTGATCAGGTTTCGAAATTTGGCAATAGATCTCGTCGCTCCTTTAAACCAAATGTCCAAAAGGTCAAGTTATATTCTGTGGCTCTTGATGAACGTATAAGAATCAAGTGTACTACAACAGCTCTAAAACATATTGATTTAAAAGGTGGTTTGGATAGATATTTATTGACAATGAAGGATGACAAGTTGGGCAAAAAAATGTATGATTTGAAACTTAAAATTATGGATAGACTTGAGGAAGAAAAGAAAAGGCTAGCGGAATTAGATGGGTGATTATTGGATAGTGATAACAATTAGATGAAAGGATGCATGCAATTAAAGCTTTGTTATAATTTGATTATAATTTGTAATATTGAATTATTTCGAAAATAATAAAATTTATATTATATATATATAATATTTTTTCACATATCAATATCTATGCAAGATACATATTAATTTAGTAATCAATATTTAATCCAAAAAAGAAGATCTACTACTGGTTGAAGATATCTGGAAAACACTAGTTTGGATCAATATACGTGTTGCATTGGGAGATTTTACAAGTTAACAGGATAGTTCAATATAAAAAGCATATTTAAAGTCCTTAGAATCAGTTTAATAAGTTCGTCATGCAGCATCTTCATGTGGTTTTTATTGAAAGATAACAACTGTTGTTTTCTTGTTATTCATGGATAATTCTCAAGTATTTAATTTCTATGTTAAGTATTTTGCGGTGTTATTCAGAATGTGTTGATAATTCGACCAACTAACAACAAAATGTACCATAGGCATTTAATATCATAGAGAACCAGTATAATGTATCATATAACGCACGCCCAATAATTATAACGTACTAAGGATTTGGAAAAAAATTTTCAGAAAAGAATAATATGTGAACTATATTAATTGAAACGACTAATCTTAAAAAAAAAAAAAAAGGGATTATCTTTTTAACAAAATGTACACTATAAGAGTGATTCTAGATGAAGACAAGTTTTTTCATAGAAGCACACCTGAAGGAGCATAGACGCCTTGATATATGTATCACTTCATGTCTATGATGTCAATAATATTGTCATACTCGGTAATTGTAGAAACATATTAGATAGTTGATTTTTCGATTGTGAGTATTGAAACTATTTGTTAGCAGTAGAAGAAATAACGATCTAGATCAATGGTAAATACGATCCGTGAGCGAATTTAATTAGAAAGGAGATAGTTAGAAAGTGTGTATATTCATTAAATTGGTAAAAGTTCATTCTATCAAATTGAATTCCTGAAATGATGATTATAGGTATTTTGATCATGATTTTAGCAACTTCCCTAATTCGCAAGAAAAGTATAAAGGAGCCTTCCTTCTTGGACGAAACATTAAAATAATACGATTATAGATGGGCGTCTAAATTGTTTTTGGGGTTGTCTACAGTCAAAATAGTATTTAGACAAAAATGTCTGAATGTCTAAATTAATATAAATAGTAATGATTTGCTTTAAATACAACTAAAAGTCACGTGTATATACATCAAAATCCACAAAGTTCAGTAAATTATCCAATAAAAAATCCGATTTCAGCATTTTAGACATGATTTGTCTAAATGTCTAAATTAATTTATATTTTAGACATTGTCTAAATAATTTAGTTTAGACACCCATCTATAAAATACGATTTAAAAAAAATAAAAAACGATTAGCATAGAAAAAAATTGATGGTCCGTTAAAAAAAGGATTACTTCAGCCCATCGACTATTTACTGATATGGGTAACAAAAAAAGCAATTATCATTAAAAGCATTTACGGAATATGGAATGAATATCTTCTCACGAAAGTAAAACATCAAAATGTTCATCACCATTTTAGTCCAAGAATTTATTACAATAATAATAATAATAGCAAGCAGTAACAAGTTTCCTTATTTATAAAAATGATGAATTTTTTTTTACGATTTTACTAATATTTTCTATATTAACGGATAATTTTTTGGAAAGAAAATCTCCGCATTATCTGCATGAAAAGGATAAGAATGTGTAACTATGTAAATTAAAAAGATATATATATATTATTAATCAATCAATAAATAAATAATAAATAATAAATAATAAACAATTTATTAAAGTTCTATTGAAAGAAAATATTTTTCTTCTTGAAATAAAAAAAAACTCGAGAATTAATTTATAATATAATAATAATAATGGGTGCTGCTAATAATAATGACACTGGTTCTAAAGATTGGCTTAAAGAAAGAGCTGCTATATGTAAGTGTAAAATTAGATATTTGGTGAAAATTGAACATCTAGCTGGTCAAAGGTTTCCAAACAAAATATAATAATAATTTTAAAATTTATTTTACTCCATCAAATAATTCATAAAATAATATTATTGTATATAAATAAATTTAATCTATATTCTTCCTTTTTTAAAAAAATAAATAATTAAAAAGCTGCCGCCCATCGAAGACAAAAGACTGACCCGGCAGCATCAAAACTTGTTGACCAATTACACAAAGATCGTATTCAAGGAAACGCTGAAGAAACAGGTAAATTATTATTATTAAAGCATCATTAATTGTGAAAAAGTGATGGCAGAAGTTAATTGTATTATATACATCGGCGGTGAATTAATTAATTGATTTGTTGATCGATTGGTTACGATTATATAGTTGACGAGGAATATGAAGATCTTGATGCAATTACTAGTGTACCACCTCCTGAAGAAATAGTTGTCAAAGGTAATTATTTATTAGCTGATTAGTTAACTTGATTAATTAATTGGTAGTAGTATTAATAGCGTTTTATATGTGTATAAAAAATTAATAAAAGTTTTTTTATTGGGTGTTTTTTTGGTTGGGTGAAAAAGTTGCACCAAAAGAAAATACAACCACTACACTTCATGGCAAAGAGACTAGTGAAGATGTTTATCAGTCATTTATGAAATCAGTTTTGGAAGGGGGATTAGCCACGGAATCTTCATTGGAATTGTCATTTGATTTAAAACCTGAAGACATTAAAACGAAAGATTTGTCTGAGGGTGAGGAGGTTGAAGAAGAGGACGAGAATGAAAATGAAGGTGACGGTGAGAATGAAAATGAAGGTGATGGCGAGAAAGAAGATGAAAATAACGAATCAATTAAAATTGAAAGTAAAAATGAAGATGAAGGCGAGAAAGAAGATGAAAACGACGAATCAATCAAGATTGAAAGTAAAAATGAAGATGAAGGCGAGAAAGAAGAGAAAGAAGATGAAAGTAAAGATGTTGAGATTAATAATGGTTAGTGGAAAATATTATTTAAATTAAAGCATTCACAAACTTTTAAATTTTGTCCATCTTTACTAATTAAATAAAATTATATATTTCACTAAATAATATTAATCAATCAATAAATAAGAAACAAAACCACCACCATCATCATCTAATGATTTATCAGAGATAGAATCTGAAAATAAAGAAATAAATAATAATAAGATTGATGATCAAAATGATTGAATGAAATAAGAAAGAGGGAGGGGGAGAAATATTGTAAATTTATTATTATATTATATTATATTTTTGTCAAATATTAATTATACAACTATTATTATTATTCATTATTTTAGAAAAGAGAATAAATAAATATTTAAGTCTTTATATATGTTGTGCGTGAAAATGAAATCTACGCGAATTTGCAATTCACATATGTGAAATTCAAATTAGCCAGTCAGAATTTCATATCCAAACACCCACCCCAAAATTTTAATTATAAATTTCGATTTCACATAGTTTCAATTTCACATACAACATATATATATAGTATATAGTATATAATTTATTATTGAAATATTTATCATCATCTAAAAATAAAATTATTTATGACGATCATTTGAAATTTTAGATCAAATTTTATATTGTAACAATAAAAATGTTACAAGCTCAAGGAATCTTTATATTTAAACTCGTTTCAAGTTGGCGAATTCATGAATTGTATTCAAAGAAAAAAGATGCACTTACACCAAATACTGTTGACATAATTGGGAACATTGATAACATTATAGATTTTTTAAAAAATTTTCATAATGTAAAAATAATTATTATTGGTTAGAACGCGTAATTTTATTATTACTTATGAAGAATTACTCGTTCTTTTTTGTTTATTTAGCAACTTGTTAAATGTAATACAGCTAGTGACTGTATTTTTAGATTTCCAAAAGGTGAAAGTTTATTAAAAGATTTAGCGGTATATTTCAATTTTGTAGTTTTTTCTTTAATTATAATAATCTAACAAAGGAATCATTTTATATATTAATAATATTAATATATATCTACAATTCTACACTGGAGTTTAATCAGTTAAATAGGATTTTAATTCTTCACCCTGTTGCATGTCAATTAATTGTAAAATGCGTGTTAGAATTTTCTAAATGCTTGAACAATGTTCCGAATTTTATTCAAGGAAATAACTCAAGAAATTGGTGCGCAGATAGAATTAAAAGTATTATTCAATCTCATAATGATGTAGATGAAATATCGGACAACTTTTCATATTATAATGAAATTGGATTGTATGAATTCCATGGGCTTGTGGTCAAAGAATTTATTACAACAATAAAAGAATTCTTGAAAGTCATAGAGAATTCATCAGTTGAATTACCTGTAAGTTAGGACAAGACATAATTAACTAATTATTTATTAATTGATATTTATTCTTATATGATACAATATTAACAATCTTTTATTATTAGAATAAATGTTTTATAAAAATTTCACAACAATGTTTGCCACTTTTAAATGATTTGAATATGGTAGAATTGATAGATCGTATAATAGTTGTGGCAACTAAAAATTATTTAAATTATGAAACATGCCTTGAAAATAATAATAATAATGAACAATTTTTATTATTTTCTGATGTTTTTATAGAAAAATTGATTTTTATCAATACTATATTTTATGAGCACCTTTCTATCGATGCAAAGGATGGGTAAAGCAGTTCCTTTATCAAAGATATTGAGAGTATTTGGTTAAATTCACATACATACATATATATTTATTCATTTATAATTGTATAGATTATGGGCAACATGTCCAATTACTGTAGAAAATGAGGTAAAATGCTTATTATATATACATACTTAACAATAACAATTATTTGCAAATTTATTATTATTAATCGTATATGTCTATTTTTTTCTTTTTATAAGATTATGAACATTTTTGGTCAATTACTTTTCCCAATTGATAGTAATTACATGAATCCACATTATATCAAAGGTTTCTTAAAATCAAATATTATAATTCAAAGAATGTTTAAACATCCTGAAATATTTCATCAATGTTTATATGTGCTGATGAAATTGATATTGGAAATACCTGATCAGAGGATACTAAGATTAATTGAATTAGTTATTCAGTTAATATTTGATGAAAATATTGAATTCATAGTTAATAAATCAAACATAAAGGTACAAAAAAATTTTTAAGGAATTCTCCATTCCATAATTCTCCAACACTTCATCTCTAATCTTTTACTAATACCTAAATAGTGTAAATTTCTAAGCAAACTAATGGATATGATAACCATACTTAAATCTAATCCTGATTTGAACTCACTTGAAGAATTAAACAGAATTAGAAAGCATTCATTTACTATAGAAGAGTCATCGTATTATTTAAATCATAAAAGACAAGTATGGATAATCTTTAAATCTTGTGTAAAATGGAATTATTGGACTATAAATGAAATTTTGGACATCAATAAATATTCCAATATTGAGGAAGTAAGTTTTCAGCACAACTTTAATTATACAAATAGTGTTAGTTATTATTATGAATAATGATGGTATTTTTTTATTTGCAGTTGAAAGAATTCATTTCATATTTAGGTTGGCTGATTCTTCCAATAGATGAAGAGGACAAAGAAGGATTAATTAATCTAATTATTACGTTAACTGATATTATTATAAGAATAAGAGGTGCGAGTTAACTGTCAATAATAATGGAAATCAATTGATGATTATTCAATAATAATTATATAAATAGTAAAAATATTTATATAAATTTTTTTTTTTTAGATTATTTATTAAATTCAGCAAGAGACATTTCATTAATAATTAAATTAATGAGTCAACACAAAAATTTATTTGAAAACAATTCATTATTACTATACTTAATATTAGGAATCTTAAAATATTCAGAAACAAATTTTATTGAATCATTAGAATCGATTGTAAGTATTTCAAATCATAATTGAGCACTTGTTTGAGTAACTTTGAGTGATGATTGTCAAGAGTATTTTTTACTAATTAATTATCTGGATAATTACTTTCTCAGATTATTTACTATTTACCAAATATAATTGTCAATGACCAAAATGATAACAAGAAGAACAACAATTTATATATTTTAACAAATATTTTAGATTATATTCATAATAATCAAAGTTTGTTGTATAATAATAATATTGAAATCTCAAGTTATTTAGAATCATATTATAATTCATTTATAAGTGAAAAATAAAATATTATTATTAAGTTATTTTGGTTGAATTGATTGTTCTTTCCCTCTTCTATTATATTATATTTAAAAAAAAATATTATAACTACATAAAAATAATAATAATAAATGATTAATGATTTATTAAAAATTTTGATACAATTTTAATGACAATTAATATACAAGTTTTGATTAATTAATTATTATTGTTATTATTATATTCTTTATCCAAAGTATTTTCCTATACCTGTAGTGAATAATCTTCCTACAAGACTTGGACTTTCTGATGCTGCCATAGATGCCAAATTACTTGCCCATTTCTTTTTTGCATCTTTGTCACATTGAGTATAACCAATATTGCATTTGCTATATTTAACAATAATGCTACTAGTACAATTAAGAACCATTGTTTTAATAATGCAAAAAATCCAAAAAATATCCATATCACTATTGGTGCATAAAGTGAAACCCAAAATATATGAGAATCTGTTGGACTAACTGGTCTCGATGGCTAAATGAATAAAGATTATGTATATAATGCTATATATTCACACAAAACTCTTTCATAATCATTCATAATAATATTTTGTTTTCCTACATCATGACTTTCAAACATCCACATGTTTGATCCATCCTCTTGAATATCATTCCACCATCTTAATCCTACCAACAATCTACTGGTTACATTTTTAACTGTCCAAAAATCAAACGATAAACATAATACGCAAAAAATAAATATCAATGACAAAATAAGTTCCAAAAAGATATATGATAATTGCTAATCCACGAAAGAAAAGGTGAAAAAATAATGCAATTGGATGGCTACAAAAAAAAAAAACAAAAATTCATATATATAGTTTTATAACCGGAAATATGTTTTGTTCATAGCACGTACCTAGATTGATCCCAGATACTCCGACTTGGTGCTGCCGGTGTTGATGTTTATAATGTGCTATTGGTTTGTGAAGAGATTGTATTCCCTCTAACGTTTGTTTTTTGTCCATCATCACTAATTCCTATTTCAACATCTGGTTCTAAATGTGCATCAGATAATAAATGTGCAATCGATTCTTCCTCTTTTTTTGAAATTATCATCATTTTTATTTTAGAAAATTTAAAAACCCAGACTTAATGGGATTGTTATCACTGTTATTATTATTTTAACACGTACCATAATTTTTAATGAATCGCAAACTAAAGAGTTATTATACCCCTGTAAAAAATTTATTCCGTGATTACTATTACGCTCAGTGTTTTTCCGTTATTAGATTCTGTGTTTTTTCCGTTTATATTTATATTAATAATATAAATTCCCGTGTTTCTCCATAAAGGTACCATGTTCACGGAACCTATAACTCAATTTTTTCATAAAAAACGAAGATTTCACTGAAACACGAATTGATGAGATGAAAGAATGGTCAGGATACCCATCGACCATTCATTCACTGAGAAATCCTGGACGAACATCGGGTATTATGTGCATTTTATTTAACCATCTAATTACTGAATTTTTTTTATACTGATTTGTTAGTTATTATTTTTTTATTTAGGACTTTTAACACATTCGAAACTCAAGGAACCGCTTATCTCTGTACCGATGTTCGCCTCCTATCCATTATATTATATGATTTTTTTTTATTGTAGGGTATTTTTATTTATAAATTATAACTTGTTCTATAAAAAAATTTTATACTGAAAATATACTGAAAACACATGGAAAATACACAAAATAATTAACACGGCATGATAAACACTAATACTAACTACTAATGCAATTTGTCATTGATCGGATTAAATTACGATGGTTTTCTTATATACCTAGAAGAGTATTCTCATATAAACAATTATTATTTGCTTGCTTTATCAGTTATTAATAAAAAAAATGAAAAGTTTAAATTTGTCAGCATAATAATAAGTTATTATTAATAAAAAGGACTATTTTCATTTGCAACTTTATCAGTTAATTAGTTATCTCACCCTATAAAAAATAAAACACGGAAGCGGTACGGAATAAGATACTAATACGGAATAGGTACGGAATGCAAAAAAAAGTATAAAAAGTACGGAGATCTGTTTTTTGCTACATGAACTGTTACCATACTTTTTATGCGTTTTTCCGCACATTTTATACGTCTTTTCCGTACTTTTTTGCATTCCGACCTATTCCGTATTAGTAACTTATTTTTTATAGCTAATAGGGTCACATTTCCGTGTTAATTCCACATTTAAAAGTTACTATAAATGACATCATGGAAAAAATCTGGATTGCTTATTTGCCAATTGCTGCTTTTATGAAAAAAACTGAATTTCAGAGGTGGCTCATATTTGTGCCTTAGAAAAGAAACAACAAAAAATATTCCTTTGCATTTTGGTAATGTAAGTAAAACTGGGAATCCAATGTTGCATTGAAATACTGAAAAACAAATCTGATGAAGAAACATTTTTACAAGAAATTATACAATCCATTCATGTCCTTTTACCCACCTAGAATCATATACCTTCCCAGATCAGCAGATAAGTCTAGTCCATAGATAATATAATGTGAAGGTAATTTAATTTCAACACAATCAATATTCTGGATAATTATATATATATACAGTGTATTTCAAAAAAAACTGGAAAATTATTGTTGTTGGAAAATCTTTGTAACCTTACTAAAAAACAACCCAACTTGTTTCAAATAAAATTTAAACAAAGCTTTGCTTTTAAAGTTATTTTAAATCTTTTTCAAATTGAATCTGATGTTTAGTTTTTGAGTAATTAGCTTTTAACATGCACAATAGGGTTGGATTTTACTTTTTTTCTTGCAATCACATTATTAAAATAAAAGGGATACATCTACCTGACAAACACATCATATTGCGAGCATTTTATTCTCAAATATCTATTTCAATATTAATAAGTTGAACGAAATAGGTGATTTGGCATAGAAGAGTTAATTGTTGGAGAAAATGGATTCACAGTTGAAATCACATGATTCACTACAATTTATCTACTGGTTTTTTCAAAATATTTGATAGCCAGTTATCAAATAATGTCAAAATTTTCAAGGTATGGGATAATTCATTATAAAAAAAAAGAGCTTTAACTCCTGATTTGTTTCTAATTAGTTTAATTTGATCAAAAAATCAATAAGTTGGTTTATAATTAAAACTAATAGTGAAAGCATTTTGTATTAAAGTATGGTTAATAAAAAGTTCTGCTTTTAATCTATTGAATGGGCCAAATCAATGCAGCAATGATTGATTTAATTTTTCCAGTTTTTTTAAAACACACTGTATATTTATGTTAAAACTTTTATTTCCAAGTTATTAGTCATGTATCAGGAAGTTATTACATTTGAGAAATTTTGAGATAATGAAATAAATTTTGTAATTCTGTTGCAGATTTTATACATACTTTTGTTCATAACACTAAAAATTTTACTATACTATTTTACATACATATATACAGTATACAGTCAAAGCTCATTAAATTCATATATAAAAAAAGAAATTGTCAAGTTGTATTTCCTGAAATTGAAGAAGCAATTGTTATTTGGCTCTCACATGCTTGCATAAGTAACTTAACAGTAACTAATGGTGTTCTTAAGAAAAAGGCATTGGACTTTAGAGATTTGCTTCAAATTAATAATTTTACAGCATCTGATGGTTGGTTGCAAAAATTTAAAAAGAGATTTAATGTACGATCTTTTGTGAGGTCAGAGTGCACCACTTGATACATTAGAAGAAGAATGTGTTAAACTAAAAGATATCATTAGGCAATATGATTTAAACAATGTATTTAATGCAGACAAGACAGCATTGTATTGGGAACTTGAACCATCAAAAACTTTAGCAATTGGACCTGTTGTTGGTACCAAGAAATCAAAAAATTGAGTTACTATAATGCTTACATGCAATGCATCAGGTAGTGTTAAACTTAAACCATTGATTTAAAACTCCTCAACCACTTTGTGGCATTAATAAAGAAAGCTTACCAGTAAGTTATTACTGGAATCCTACTGCTTGGAAGCAAGCTTTCTATTTGGGAAGATTTTCTCTCCAAGCTGAACTTACAAATGAGAAATCAAAATCGTCATATACTTTTACTTATTGATAATGCTTCTACGCACAATATAACTAATATTGGACAACTTTCAAATATTATTTACCTCCAAACACCACCTCACATCTTCAACCATTAGATGCCAGTATAATCAATTCATTTAAAGCTCAATACAGAAAAAGACTTGTAAAGAATCGTGTTGATGCATATGATGATACAATAAACAACAATAAAAGTTCGGTAAATCCTATTAATACTTGGATGCAATTAATTTTTGTGGTGAAGCATGGGATACAGTCTCACAATCAACAATAGTTAATTGTTGGAAGAAGACTAAAATTTTGCCAGATTATGATTTAAATACAATTCATGAATTACAAGAAGAAATAAATAAACTCTATTTTAGTGAACCCATTTCAGCAATGGAATTTGTAAACATTGATAATGAAGTTTCTGAAGAGTTTTCTGATGCAGAAATTATTGAAACAGTATGTCCTTCACAAAATAATGAAGTTGCTGAAGATGAAGATGAAGGAATTGAATTTGAACCTTCTATACCAGTTAAAAATGCTTTGGAATATTCAGAAAATATTTTATCATTTCTAAAAAACCCTCCTCTGAATTTTCTTACAACCTAAATACTTTCGGAAATTTCATTCACAATTATTTAAATTCCATTTAGATAGTTTGAAGCAATCAACCATGGATGATTTTTTTACAAATGAATAATGAATTGTTTTAGTATTTTTATTATTTGTTAATTATTAAATAATTAAATAATTGGAAATTTTTCTTTCAAAATTTTTTTATTGAAGATCTTTTCTTTTTATAGAAAAAATCTCTATAAAGTCCTGGAATAATTTGATAAATTCATAAATTTTTCTGTGCCAACCTCACGAATACGCGTTTGTCGATCAAATAATAATAAAAGAAAAAATGTCTTTCATACATGATGGCGAAATAGTTTTGTTTCGACAATAATTTCGACTATTAGGGTTCAAACATTTCGAATATACCCTAACAGCTTTCGAAAAAAACAAAATTCGAAATCAAAATCGAAATTCGAAACCAAAATCGAAATTTGTAATCAAAATTCGAAATTCGAAATTAATAAATAACTTTTTTCATTTTTGCATTAATCATACATGATGGCGAAATAGTTTTGTTTCGACAATAATTTCGACGATTAGGGTTAACAGGTTTCGAAAAAATCAAAATTCGAAATCAAAAAATCGAAAATCGAAATCAAAATCGAAATTTGTAATCAAAATTCGAAATTCGAAATTAATAAATAACTTTTTTTCATTTTTGCATTAATGTCTTTGAATTTCGATGTTGATTTTGAATTTAGATTTCGATTTTGAATTTCGATTTCGATTTTGAATTTAGATTTTGATTTTAATTTCGCCAAGGGTATTTCGATTTCGAAAACTTGTGATTTTTTCGAAAGTTTCGAATTTTATCAAATGACTTTCGTCATCATGTATGTAAAAAATAGGTCAAAAAGAAATCAAAAAGCCGGAAAAGAACAACATGTTCTGGATGAAGAAAATGTAGTCGATATATATGATACTACTATACATATAATAAATATTAAATTGATTGGTTTTATTAATCAATTAATTTTTTTTAAAATGCAAGTCCTTTGCAAAGAAACGAAAACAGTCCACTACAGAAGATCCACAAAAGTAAGTATTGTTTGAGGGTGGTTGTCTTTTTACAAGCGACATTCTAATTATAACTATATACTATGTTTTTTTTAATTTTAGCAACATTTTAACTAATGTCGATGAAAATAAAGTGAGTAGTAATTACATCATTCTTTTCAGATGGGTGGTAAAACTGATTGTTTTGTTTTTAATAAACAATTTCCAATCAATAGGAAAATAACGAACCATGTGATAGAGAATTAGTTATTCATGTTATTAATATAAGGGAAGCCCTCATGAAATGGAAAGCTAAAAATAAAATTCAAAGTTATAATGAGCAAGTTTTAATAATAATAAAACAATTTATTTGGAAATTTGATTTAAGCTGATTCATTTCTTATAATCATAGACTTGCTCATAACAACATTTTAAATATAACTCATGGCTCTAGTTGTAGCTTTATTAAATCATTGACAATTGATATTGAAAATGAAATTAATAAAATTCTTTTAAAAACCTAAAAAAAAAGAGTATATTGAAATTGAAAAGCTGGTGATAGAAATATTAAAAGTACATTGCATTGAAAGAAATATTCTTATTTTCAAACAAAATTCAAAACCATTATATTTACGATTATTTTATATTAGAGTATTGATCTAGATTTGCTTATTAATAAAATCTTGAATTAAACATGTATAGAACATACTGCAGTAACTTATGAGATGTCTCTTACCTTCAAAAAAGTGTATATATTTAGAGAAATTGATAGGTTTATAATTCCCACTTCTGGAAATGTATCAAAATTGAGACACTGTATACCAAGTTTCCTATATTTCAAAGTATAATAATCCTTTTTTTTTTTTTTTTGATAAAAATAATTTTTTCTAATTATGTTATTTACTAATGTTTCTTTTCTATATACTGATAGGAATTGTTATTAGAAAGTATGAAAATATTAATCAATATATTTATGAGTCAGGTTTAGAGTCACCCTCAGAAAATGACAATAATAATGCGTCATCATTTTTAACAGAAATATCTCATTCAAAAAAAAACAAGATCAAAAAACAACAAACAAGTAATTTTTTTGACTATTTTAAAAAAAATTATCATATTTCTTTATCGAGAGAATCTTTTTATTGGATTAAAAGTATTGCTTATTGTTGTAGTGTTATTATTTTTTTAGTAGAATAGGATTTGCTACATATTAGTATTTTACGTGATTTGCAATAAACTATAAATCGTATAAATCATATTATACATACATGATACCATGCTCCTCATAATTAAGTTTGTTATGATTATTATGAATGTTATTCAAATATGATAAATAGTAAATTTTGCCACAAAATTTTTGAGCTTAGAGCTTAGATTTTTCAGTTCTAAGGAACTTTGTCTTACTCTTAAGTGTGCTGAATTTGTCAAATTTGTTTATTTACACAAATTAAATATTGGTAGAGTAGATTACCTTGTTCACTTTGTCTGGTTTGTTACAGCATGCCCCATATCAGAAATGCATGTTATTAATAGGTTTATTTAATCTTATGATAGAAAATTTTTTTTCAGCAAAGAGCAATTGTTTATGTTCACATGATTTTAATGTAATAATAATCTTGAACATTACAACAAACTAATTCAACTAATTATTTACTCTTAGGAGGAATAAGTAGTGTTGATAAAAATTTTTGCCTATCTTCCAGGAAGAAAGACAAAAGAAAAAGATTCATGAAATTAATTAATAAAATTGTTGTTACATGGCAACTTTTCTTTCTGATGTGTTAATATACACATGTTCACATATACTGTTAATTAACTTGAGTTAGGTAGTAAATTATTTTTCTTCTAATTCCTTCTTCTTTTTTAGGTTCCTTGTGGTTTTGTGTCAAAGCTCTTTCTTGGTAAATTTCATAGGTAATCCTTTCTTTCCTTAGATAAGCCTCAAGTACCTGAGAATCATTTAATTTAAAAATGTAAGGTGTGATTTTTTCACCTTGTTCTTTCTTCATAATACTTCTAATGCTTGGTTCCATAGTATATCTGATGTAAATGAGTTTCGTATTATTATTTTTAGTTCTATATATTGTTTGAGAAAAAGGGGACCAAAATTAGTATGCTTATTACTATATATTATATAGACTGTACTTGTTTCGATATATGGACGAAGATCATATACTAAAATGTAAACGTGATAATTGCAACATTGATCAAAATAGAATTTCTACTATGCTCGTCACCATTGTTGTTTTGTCTTTTTCATTTTTCGCATTCAGGAAAAAAAAGATAAACCGTATCATTATTTTGTTTATGCTCTCACCTTGAAATAGGCGTAATAAATTGTAGAAGAAAGTAAGAATCGACCCTTTTATATGACTGTCATCAGAATCCCAATATTTGATAATGAAAAAGGACATTTTAGATTGAATTAAAATTTTCATGTGATTAAAGGATTCTATTATAAGCGCTCCATATCTAAGACTTTTTGTTGATTCATATTCTTTGTCACCTTGCAACCCAACAATCTCTATTTTTAGCCACCTGCTCAATTGTTACAACACAGGCATTAATAGGATATGCAACCAGCTACCCTTTCTAATTATATTGAAACAGACAGAGCAAAGTATTTAGCTGGTTCTCTTTCAATATGCAATTCTGCCCATTTTTAGAACCTACTTTAGATGTATCTTCTAATTTTGGAATATCAAATAATAATAATATAAAAACTCCTTGTATTATTTATAATACTTAATATATGTGATGGAGTAATTAAAAAAATTATTTTTCTAATAAACCTACCATCAGAGCATATATTAATTTCTGAAATTCCTTTCACATTGCATATTTGCTTTTATTTTTGCAAACACTTCCAGTCATTTAAAAATTTAACAGAATTTTTTTGAGAATTATCATTGGTTGTAATATGCTGAGGAATTGGGAGATTTATAACAAAGGAGTGGAAAATTTATACAATATTTTTTGCAAAACCATTGATGGATTGCAAGCTGATATTGATTAACTTTATAAAAAATTAAGAATAAAAAAAAAGAGAGACAGTTAAATATTGAAAGGACATAAATGCAATTTTTTTAATTATTCCTAATAATATCTAATCTAATCTGATCATTAATTAATGCGTCACGTCTCAGTGCTAACTAAAATTTTCCTCTGCTTTTTGAACCTCCTAACGTCATTATGAATTACTATATTTTTATTGCATAATAAAATAAATAATAAAATTTGAATTAGGGGTAAATAAATATAAATAAATTTAATTTGTCCAATAATGAATTTAAAATTTTCAAAGTTCCTCTTTATTATTATGAATAAATAAATTCCTAATTCTATAATTCCATAAATTTCCGCTTAGGAAACTGGTTTTTGCTATAAACGTCTTATAATTTAAAGGATAGCTTTCACAATTATTACTTGATGATGAAATAAGATATTTTGGTCAAACAAACAAAATAAAAATTTTAGGTTTTTTTTAGTTGGTTTCACAATTTGTTTTTATTTTTATAAATTTTTTTTTTTTTCATTTTTAAAAGAATAAAATACATGCTTTTAATTAAATATATAATTACAATAAGTAAATAAAATTTAAATACATGACTCCAAAAAGATCCTCAGAATTGGAAATATCACCACCTGTTCGCCTTCCAACAACACCCGAACAATCTCCAACTAGAAGGAAAAAATCTCGTGAAGACAAAGATTCGATATTTTCCTTGTTTTTTGGTTCTGCCTCAAGACCTTCCTCACCAAGCTATGAGCCAATTTTACAAACGATGAATCATTTTACTTCTAAATCAAATAAATCGAGAAATTCTACTTTTATTAGAAAACATTCAGCTGAAAATCTCAAATCTGCTTTATCTTTACCACAAACTGATGGTCCAAGAAGAAAATCTTTTGATTCTGTACAAAACGATATAAATGCTAATTATGTGGGTTATTTCCCTCCTCCTGAAATAGCTCATTTTACTCATCAACAATCTATTCATCAATCATCGCCATCATCAGCAGATTTTAGTAAAAATTCGTCCAAAAACAACAACAGCAGCAACAACAATAATCGTGATCATGATCATCATAATAATTATCATCATCATCATCATAATAGCAATAATAGTATTAACCATAATATTACGGATTCTCATTCATTTAGAGGACTTCATCGACGCACAAGAAGTTCAGAAAGTGATTCTGTTTTAGATTCCGGTAGCTTACATTCAACCGCTAGTAGTAATACTCTAATAAATCCAACCCCTACTAAAGAAAAGAAAACTATTTTCCCCAAATGGTTTATTAGAAAAGGATCAAAAGATAAAGAAATACCGGCACCATCAGAAGGTTTTATTGTTATTACTATCACCACTATTATTATAGATTTCTCTGCATATTAACTTACACGCATACACGTAATGTTTATTTCATGCATACATATATAATTATTATAGCTTCTTCTCGTAAAAACTCAGATGCAGAACCCTACATACATACTAATTTGGTAATAACACCAACATATGATAGGGATGATCCTTTTGGATCAATTATTACTCCTACTTATCCTAAATCTGCTACATTACCTGGAAAAAATGACATTCCTTGGATTAAATCAAAAAAAGATAAATCAGGAAAAAAAAAGGTTTATATTTCTACAAAACCAACGCTAATTAATTACATTCATCTTTTCAAATAATCAATATTTTTATTCAAAATATTTTTTAGGATTTGATTTTAAATGGAATCAATCGTATTGATATCGTTCCTTATTTGATTTTTTTTTTTAAAAAAAATTCTAGAGAAAATCATTTAATAACATTAAATTGATATCTTTCAAAAAAAAAACTATCTCCATTTTAGTTGATACCGATTTTGTTGATATGAATGATATTATAAGAAATCCAAATTACATGTTATACGATGAACTCCAACCAGAAAAATCATTTTACGATGGATCAGAAATATGGTCTCCACCCGAGTCATGGGCTGTTCGAAAAGCTTCTCCAGACGAATCATCAATTTTAACAGATAAAGATTTTAATAAATATTTAAAAGATATAAATGATAAATCGGATCAAACTAATAGATTGGTATATTATCAAATAAATATAATTATAATTACAATTATAATTATGAATATAAATATACTCATTGAATTAATCCAATCATTATAACTAAATTTATCATTATTATTATTTTTACCTATCCATACACTTTCACTTTTCCTAAAGTTTACCATACGAATTTTTCGTCCTGATTCAACTTTTGGTACCGTAAATTGTTCATTAAATACTACCACTGCTGAATTATGTCAAATGTTGGGGAAAAAATTCTTTGTTCAAGATATCTCAAAATATAATTTATTTGTAAAAAGACATTATTTAGGTAATTTTAAAAGTTTGGTTTATTTCTTCTTTTTTGCCTATTACATCAAATATAATTATAATAAATATAGTATTAATATTATTTACGTTGTTTATTGCATAGAACGTGTACTAACTTCTCACGAAAGACCATTAAAATTACAAAAAATATGGCTTGAACGAGCAGGTTATACTGAAAAAGATAATTTAGAAGATCTGGGTAGAGAAGATAATAGTTATTTGGTTCGTTTTACATTTCGTGAAACAACCGTACCGAGATTCGAGGTTAATTTTTTTCATGTTACCATTATTATAATTTTTTTATTTATAATCACGTGTTTAATATTAATGTGTGTACGTGTGTACCGACTCCTCTTTTACATAGGAAGAAGTTAATATCTCAAATTTTCAACATGTTGACCTTCAGGCACGCAATTTACAAACTATCCCTATATTTCTTTATAAACATGCCCATGTCATTCGATCACTTAATGTTTCACAAAATTTGATGCTTGACATTCCAACTGATTTTATACAATCATGTACTCAACTTCGTGAGCTTCACCTATCTTCAAATGATCTTGAACGAATTCCTCAATCTGTAAGACAATCTGAACTGCTATCGAGCCTCAATATAAATTCAAACAGGCTCAAAGATTTAGATCATGCTAAACTTGATAAAATTAAAGGCATATTAAATCTTCAAGTAGAAAATAACATGCTTCAAAGTTTGCCAGAATACTTTGAACGATTCACCACTCTTAACTTTCTTAATATTGCCAATAATTCTTTTACGGAATTTCCATTGGTTATTTGTAAAATAACAACACTTTCAAAACTAGATGTTAGCTTCAATAAAATTTCCTCTATCCCTGATGAGATTGGTCAACTAGTCCACTTAAAAAGACTATTTATGATAGGAAATCAACTTGCAGATTCATTACCTAACAGTTTTAAAAACCTAACCTCTTTACGAGAATTAGATATTCGTAAAAACAAAATTCAAAATTTAGATGTAATTTCTTCAATGCCAAACATTGAACGTTTATTAGCAGATTCAAACAAAATCAGCATGATAAATCTTTCTTCAAGAACACTGCAACAATTAACATTGTCTAGTAATCGTTTTACACAATTTGGGTTGTCTGCGCCAGCAACTTGTCTTACAGTTCTTTCTTTAGCACACTCAAAGCTTACCACATTGCCTGATGAACTATTTGAAAACCTTCCTGCAATTGAAAAAATTGATCTGAGCAATAACCAATTTGTTTCGCTTCCAAAAACAATCGGATTATTAACAAGATTAACACATTTGTCATGCGCAAACAATATTCTCTCTGAGTTACCTGGCGAAATTAGTACTTTAGTGTCTTTACGAGTATTAGAAATTCGTAATAACAATTTAACTTCACTTCCACAAGAAATTTGGTTATGTAACAGTTTAACAGTTTTAAATGCCAGTTCTAATCTTCTCGAACAATTTCCTTCACCGCCACCGCCACCTTCACCACCACTATTACAAAATACAAATGACTCACTACAACAACAAAAATCACAATTATTAACTTCTAAAAGATCTTCTTATCAACATCCATTATGTATTTCTTTGCGTTCTCTTTATTTGGGAGACAATAATCTAACCGCAGAAATATTTCCGGCGATTTCATTATTAATGGAACTTAAAATATTAAATCTTTCATTTAATGATTTAGATGAAATTCCAACTGGCGGTTTAATTAATCCTTACCTGGCAGAATTATATCTTTCTGGTAATCAATTATCATCATTACCTGATGATATTGAAAAATTGTCAAACTTGAGAATTTTACATGTAAATGGTAATAAGCTACAAACATTGCCAGCTGAATTAAGTAAAATAAGAAAATTGATTGTCTTAGATGTTGGAAGTAATGCTCTTAAATATAATATCGCTAATTGGCAATATGACTGGAATTGGTAATAGTTGTTTATTTTATTTGTATATATTTTACCAATCTATTTAATTAAATTATTCATCACGATGATGACGTTACAAATTTTTTGTTTCTAAAAAATTCAGGAATTGGAATATGGAGCTTAAATTTTTAAATCTTTCTGGTAATAAAAGATTTGAAATCAAACATGCACATGTCACAGAGATCAATCCACTTAAAGATAGAAATCTTGCAGGTTTTGGTGCTTTAACCCGACTCAGTGTTCTAGGTTTGATGGATATTACACTATTGAATTTGACAGTACCTGATGAAAATGATAATAGGCGTATTAGAACTTCATCATCCGAAGTTAATTCTATGTCGTATGGAATGGCTGATATATTAGGAATAAAGGACCACCATTTGTCAATATGGGAAACTGTAATTCCAAAATTTCGTAGTCGTGATGACGAATGTTTATTTGGCCTTTTTGATGGGAGAAATGGCCCGGATCAAGGTGGTCCTGTTACCAAATATTTACACGATTGGTTTCCGTATCATTTCAAGTCCGAGCTTGAGAAACTCAAAGACAATGAAACAGTTGAATCAGCAATCAGAAGAACCTTTTTGGGTTTAAATAAAGAACTTGGTTTAAAAGTTTTCAATTCAAGTTTTGAGAAAGAGTATGCCAGAGAAAACGAGAGTAATCATCATCATTCAATATCATTACAAATTGGTAATAATAAATCGGGAGCTTCTGGCTTGATAGCATATATTTCAGGAACAAAATTGTACGTTGCAAATGTTGGTGGCACCACAGCGGTCATCAGTCGTAATGATGGTAATGCACATGTTATTGCAAAATGTGAAGATCCAACCAGTCCAAATGAATTCCAAAGAATAAGAGAAGCTGGCGGATTTTTATCTCATGATTTTTTGGTGAATGGTGAATTTAGTGTTTCTAAATCATTTGGACATTTTCATTTAATGCCAATTATAAATTCTAATCCAGTGATTGATGTGATTGAATTATCAGAACAAGATGAGTTTGTCATATTGGCAACAGAAGGATTATGGGATTGTATGAGTTATCAGACAGCTGTGGACATTGCACGAACTGAAAAAAAAGATTTGATGATGGCCGCACAGAAATTACGTGATTTTGCTATTGCATATGGTTCGGAAAAAAAATTAATGGTGATGATTATTGGTGTGGGAGACCTGTTTTGTCGAAGATCAAAACCACCCACAAATACAGGAGACCCTAATTTTAAAAAAGCACAATATATCACAGAAGAGCCAGGAACAACCTTTTTCTTTGGTACTAGTAAGAAGCGTATTAGAAAAGAAGAAATTCCTAGTGATTCAATGATGGCAAGATTACAAAAAGAAATTTCTCCGCCAACCGGACAGGTTGCTTTGGTTTTTACTGATATTAAAAATTCAACATTTTTATGGGAAACAATTCCGGTTGCAATGAGACATGCAATAAAACAACATAATACCATAATGCGTCGTCAATTAAGGAATATAGGTGGTTATGAAGTTAAGACTGAAGGAGATGCTTTCATGGTTTCTTTTCCAACTGTATCATCAGCTCTTCTTTGGTGTTTTACTGTACAACTTCAACTGCTTGAAGTTGACTGGCCCCAAGAAATTATCGATTCAGATGATGGTAAGGAAATTTATGGTGGCGAATATAATGAGTTGCTGCATAGGGGCTTATCAGTTAGAATGGGAATACATTTAGGCGTACCAGTATGTGAAACTGATATTGTAACAAAAAGAATGGATTATTTTGGGCCAATGGTGAATAGAACTGCTAGAATTTGCAATGCAGCTGATGGTGGTCAAATATGTGTCAGCTCAGATGTCGAGGCAGAAATCAGATTGTTGGATGGTCTGATGGATGCAAATGATCACGATTCATTGTTTAAGAAAAATGGCGAATATGATGATTATTCAGGGTCATTAACAACAGTTGCTACTAATACTATAGTAAATAATCCAGTTATATTAGATAAAAATCTTATTGCATTAAGAAAAATGGGATTTGTTGTTAAAAACATTGGAGAAAAAAAACTTAAAGGATTGGAAAACACCGAAGTATTATCATTAGTTAGTATTTTAAAAAAATTTTTTTTTTAATTTAGATTTACTTTTAAAAAAACAATGTTTAATAACGATTTCTCTTATAGGTTTTTCCGGAAGCACTTAAAGGTCGAATGGAAGAAGGTCAACAAAATAGGATCACACAAGAGGTACTTTGTATATATTATATTTTACTGTATGCTATTATTTATTTTTAAAAATTTTTTTTTTAATTTTTACAATCATTTTTGTTATAAAAAAAAATATATAGAATATTTTCCCACCTTCATGTGTGAGACAACTTGGATATCTTTGTTTACGTTTAGAACGTATTACATCAGGAAATATAAACAATCAATATAATTCAGCAAGAAATTCCCGTGCAGATTATTTAACAGGCTTATTAACTTTTCATGTTAAAGATAATGCAGACGATGAAGAATTGTTAAGGATTATGGAAAGTTTAATAACAAGAATTGAGGTATTTTTTTTTGAAAAAAAAAATAAAAATTATTGATTAATGTGCCTCTATATTTTATATCTCTTACTAACACATAATTAATTTTATTTTATTTATTACCACTTTAGAACGTTATATCAGCTTTATATCTTAAAAATGTTAGCAAGCATACTCGTATACGTGAAGAGTTTGGAGAAACTACTCAATTTGATCCAGAATATATAATTGATGCATTACGAATGTATATAAAAATGGTCGGAATTAATAAAACAGAAAGCAATAAATGTGATGGATCACCAGCATAAATTGTAAAATTTTAAAATTTAATATGTAAATAGCTTTGGTGTTTATTTTTATTTTTATTGTTATTTTTATTATTCTAATTATTATAATTTAATTTATATAATAATAATCCTTTCTCTTTTTTCCTTAAAGACATTTTAATTCCAATACTTATTATTATTTTTTAATTCTAATTTTAATCTCTCTAATGGACAATAACTTAAAAAATTGAAAAGGATAATTTTTTAATTAATTAATAATAATTTTTAATAATGATTTTTTTTTTTAATAATTAATTTAATTTAATCAATTTCAACTTAATAATGAGCATTTTTAAAAGTAATTTAATGTAATAATAATAATATTTATTTTAGTGTTTGTATTATTAATTTAATTTTTAATTTTTAATATTTAATATGGACAATTTAATATAATAATGAACAATTCTTTAATTCAAAAAAGATATTTATACAACTTTCTTTGGACACCGGAATAAGTTAGTTTTCTGCAGCATTTCTTATTAATGAATCAAGTTTTTGTTCGCTAAGAACTTTTACAGAATATTCATCTTTATAAAAAGATCCGCCCATATGAATATTTGGAATTTTGTGATTCATGATGGATGGAATATCGACGCTGGCAGATACATGAAGTTCCTTTAAATTTACTGCCTTTAAAATTCTGGTAACATTTGTCTCACGGATTCCTAAAGGATTTTCAATCTCTAATTTAGTAAAAAAAATTTTCTCTTTTTTTCTTTTTTTAAAACAAAAGTATTGAATTCTAGATGAATTTAACTACCACCACCAGGCATGATGATTATTCTGTCATTAGCAATATCCACAAGTTTTTTGATTGTTTCTAAACCTTCCAATACAGAACTATCATGACCACTAATATATTTTTTATCATCAGTTTTTCAATAGAATGTCTACAATATATGAACAAATAAATTTTTAGACACAAGCATTATTTTGCCTCTACCTGGTTAGTATTCGTTCAATTCTACCAATTGAAATTATATCTTCAAGTGCCTGATATGGATCGTTTGTCATATCAAATGCTCTATGAAAAGTTACTTTACAAGAAAAAAAAATTAATGATTAATATATATTAATTAACAAGAAATTCAAAGATGCAATTAATCACCTTTCAATGGTTTTGCAACTTCAACTAATCTGAAGAATAATGTGTTATATAAATCATATTTGTTCGTTTGATTTTTTAAAAATAAAAATAAAAATCAAAGTAATAATAATATTTTTATTACTTTGATACTCTTTCAATATCAACTCTTCCATCAGGTTTTAAAATACCAAAAACAACTCCATGTACCCCAAGTGATTTTATAGACTCTATATCTAAACACATCACATCAAATTCCTCATCACTGTAACAAAAATCTCCACCTCTAAGAATAAATTAAAATAAAGTTTTATTATTTAAAAAAACCAGGAAATAATCAAAAGTGATTAATTGGGTAGTAATACCTTGGTCGAATCATAACCTAACATGAATAAGTATATATTTCATCGATCATCAATAATAATTAAAAAATCTAAAAAACCCCAATTTATATGACTACCTACCATAACAGGGATTTTAATCTTCTTCAGAGTCACTTTAATCATTCCTAAACTTGGTGTAGTTCCACCTTCTATCAAATTATCACATAATTCAACACGAGACGCGCCACCTTTTTCTTTTATATAATTTACGAAAGAAATTTTCAATAAATATCAATCATTAATAATATTGACAATGGTAATATCGCTCACTAACCTGCATTTATAGCAGATATCACAGAATCTATACAGGCCTCAAAAATCAAATTTTCCATCATGCATAAATAATAATAAACCAGGACCCCGCAGACTATATTAATATAGATAGGTTTTACATACAAAAAATCACGGTTGATATAGGGTTTGACCCACTCTGTGATTGGCTTATTAGAGACAATCTTTTCAAATTTGGTAATTTTCACTAGCTGCGGCAGTAACACGGATAGTTTCCAAAAAATCCGTTAAACCAAGATACCCGCTATATCGAGAAGGTTTTATTAAGGTTTATTCTAACTTTATCCGTAAAACCGAGATTTTTTAATTAGTGTCCGCTAAATCGAGATTCACTGTGTAGTTTGCGGGGGTCCTAAATTCTATGGGTTATTTTTATTATAATCGTATTGATTTGGCTCCCCAAATTTTATGGTTCCTAAGCTTAAAATGCTCTTAATGAACAATATTAAATTTGATATATTGAGTGAGCTCAAGTGTCAGATTTAATAGAATAATCCTTTCGATGTCTCGCGGGTTCCTTCCTATTGTCATTTCTTTTGGAACGAAATACCATAACATAAAATAGGCACCAAAAAACTAATATTAAACTATAATCTATTCGCACATTAAAAAATTTAAAAAAAATTATATATTTTCAAATAATAATTATAATTGTAGTAATTCATTAATTACGTGCTTCTACAACTCCATCAATTCCAATTTCTGAATGAATATCCAATACTTTTACATCCTTGGAAGGATTTTTATCAAGAATGACTGATTCACATATCGCATTAGCTTCAAGATGTCAATTGTTCCAACAGTAATATGTGCTATTTTATTAGAACTTTTGATAAATGATGGTTCTATTCTCTTTTCTAATCACACTCTATGAATAAGTATTACATACTCATTAGAATTAATATATTTATTTTGTTGTTGTAAATTATTGAAGAAGGTTCTAAAATTAACATTAACATTTGAAGTTTCTATAAAAAATTTAGTAAGAAAAATTTCCACATCAAAATTCTTGAGATTAATTGCATAATATCTAGTACTGGTTGGTGACGGTGACAATGAAATTGCCTGGTTGGTTGACAGTACAAATAATTATAATCTATAAGTGAATCAACTTGTTTAGAGCAAATTGCTTCAATTAAATCATCTTCTAAAATGAATCCTTGATCCTCTGCCTTCATTATTGCTTCCATAGTTATGATTAAATGTAATTTTTTCAGGCTTATCTGAAAATTTCAAGTTCTCAGGATAAAGACCATGTTTCAACCTATTATATTCTAATCTGTAAACTGAAAAGTCATAATCTGTAAAATATTTTCTTTTAAACATTAGATTTTAAAGTTAAAATATATATATATATACCTTCAAGCTTTCGTTTGCAATGTTTGTATTCTTTGACATACTTATCAATAATGAGCATGTGTGTACCTGTTATTCTGTGAATGTGGTCAAATTTGCCTCAGAGTTCTTTTAAAACAAAGAATACCATCATGTGAGCCTTCAATATGTAGAATAAGATGAGTTCAGTAAAATTCATACATGCATTTCAAAATATTCTTCCCTACTCAAATATCCAATGACATACAGGTTGCATGTGGGATATGCAAAACTATTGGGTAACAAATGTATATTGGAGAATGGTAGACTTTACATTACTACTAAATATGATTACAAGATGGATGGACTTACGAATTACAACCCATTTAAAAAAGAATGAATTGGTAAGTACAGCGTGGAAGCATTTTTCCTGTTTCGTATTAGTCACAAGCCAGTTAAGAAATGATCTGAGAAGGACTGCCCACTCCTTCGAACTTTCTCCATTTGCCATTTGCCATTTGCCATTTGTCATTTGCAGTCAGCAAAATTCTAATTTACAATCAGCAAGCATCAGACTGCAAGTTATATTTTTATAAAAACAGCTTGTAAAGAATTTTCCTTTTTAAAAAACAGAAGGTTAACGATTTTGAATGAATCACATAAAATAAGTAAGATTTCCAAAAAAAATATGAAAGATTAATAATAATTGTCAATATTTATATCAGAAAAAAGTGTTCAATTCTGAAATTAGAATTTTTTTCACATCTTTATTAATAATTGTTAAATATAAAAATTTTAACAATAGACTTTTTTTAGAATAGAATAAAATTTATTTTGTAATTAAAGCACACATTCTTTGCCACTATTACTTACATTCTTGATCATGTTAGCTTGCCTGAGAAATAGATAAACAAATTTTTAATAAAAGCTCTTTGAATTTCTCTTGTCGTCTTGATAATGCTAATTTCTTCGCGAGTTGTGGATTGGTTTCTTCTTTTTGACTTTGCGAATTTATTTTTATAATAACTAAAGTAATTAATAATCACCACCGCCATTTTTTTTTGATAATCTCATTATAATTATGTTTACTCATAAACTCATTCTTCTACATATGTTGCTTTTATTCTTGTGCCTTTTTGTGTTGGCATTTTAAAATAAAAAATTGATCGACAAAACGCGTACACATAGTGTTGTACAAAGAAGTTTCCTATTCATTATTATTTTTTTTGGAAAAACAATTTATTTTTTAGAAGCCAGGTCTTCATTGGCAAAGTGCTCTTATTTGGTATGTTATGGTTCTAAAGATGAAGAAGAGTTATTTATTAACAAGCAGAGGTACTTTTTTTTGCATTGATGCCTAAATATCTTAAACGTGGGATGGGTCTCTAGGTATTTATTAAGATTCTCTATCATAACAAATGATTGGCATCATTTTGCCTTTTATAACAGTTACTAATATTAAAGAATAATAAAGATAAAAAAAGGCAGCATGACTATTGAGGACAGGATGGAAAACCGTTCCAGGCAATTTAGAAAAAATTTAATATGATTATCGGAAGTTGACGGGCGTTGAAGTATACTACTTTATCTAAAACATTACAATCATTCTCGTGTTCCCCGCATACATAAGACTAATCTGGCCTTGTGACCCAATGGTATAATGATGCTTGGACCTGGAGTTTATTGAAACTGTATCCATTGTCAAGGACACTTTTGTGAATCTTAATCTTCCCTCGGAGCACCTGATCAAAGGAAGCCGAAAAGTTGTCTAGAACAATCCTACCTCTAGGTTAAAGATGACTGGCTCTGCGACTAAGAAGTTGCATTGCAGAATTGCAATATTAGGAATCTGCAACTAGTTTCAAACTCTGAACTTTATTGAAACTGCATTTGAGCACTTTATTTTTCAAAGAATCTGTTGGATATCTTCTATGTTCAGGTACTTTATCCCAATGGTCAACATGATCTCTGGCAACCATAGAATAAAACAGTTCGGATTTTGGTACGTTTCTTTGATTGGAATTTATTATTTTTTAAATGGGGTAGGGGAGAGAGCCTTTCACTTCTCCAAAGCTTCCAAGATGTTTGGGTTACCTCACCTGTGGAAAGACTTCCATAGACATGTGGAATTGTGAGAGCACCACGATCAACATCGGATTTATTCATGGTTTTTAAGAAATTATACAATTGGAAAGGAAAAAATTTTTTTTTAATCCTCCCCAACAGCACCATTCAAACCTGGTCCAAGGAGGATAGGATTATTTATTTTGTGAATTCCAGAGATTTGGGTACTCACATGTTGTTGTTCGAAACCAATTCCTTTAAGTTTCATTTATTACTCGGGTGATACAATTGCTTGTTATAAACATTGTAATGGATGTGTAGTATATGAAGACATTCGTATTCAAGGAAAGGATTAAATAGTAATAAAAGGCTAAGTCATGTTTGTTTCATACACGATGGCGAAAATCATTTAATAAAATTCGAAACTCGAAAAAATCAAAGTTTTCAAAATTGAAATACCTTTGGTGAATTCGAAATCGAAATCGAAATCAAAATCTAAAGCCGAATAACTTTTTTGCTTATAGATTATTCATGTAATAATCCTAGAACCAGAAATCTTTATTCACCAGATTCAAAGAAGTCAAGAACATACATGATGACGAAAATCATTTAATAAAATTTGAAATTCTAATAGTAATTCAAAGCCTAATTCAAAATAAAAATCATCAATCCTTTTGATTTTTGGTTTTTTTTCTTTGATTTTAGACAAACTCATTGTTCCAAGAATTGGAAGTTGTCAAAGGACCTGTTTCATCCAAAAAATCATCATTTTGATATTTATTAGGTAAGATAAAATTGGACTTTCTTTCGTTCCATTATTATTGCAACATATACAGGCGTAATAATATTCTCCGGGATATCTTACTGTGTCTTTAAAATGTATCCAAACAATGTCAGAAGGTCTTCAGGTACTCTTAGAATTTGACTTTGAGAATCAAAATTGCTTGAGACAAATTAAAAGCAAGCATTTTTTTTTTTAATTTAGAATTTCAAAATTTAATTTAATTTTGGACTCGGAACCGCGATTATCGAAATCGAAATAAACATATGTATGTTTATTTTATTTTTTATTTGATCAAGATATATGTACAAGATAAAAAAATCACCAGAGCAATTACATGGAATCCAAGGCCACACACCAATTGTGCCATTATGTCAATCAAACTATTATTTGAATACATTAGTACCTTGCTGCAATCTTATTGAGGGGGGTAGGTTTGTGTGCTATTACTATTTATATTCTCTTATGCTAATCCAGATCTTCATCTTTTACTAATTTATTGGTGAATTTGACCACGGATTACGAATTAATAAAAAATATATATTTAATCTAAAATTTTTGTATAGTAATTATTGAATCAGTTTTTTAATGGTTACAAGTTCATTGACCCAAAGATTATTTAAAACAAAAGAAATGCATCTCAAGTAAGATGGATGAGTGAATGAATGGTTGGCGGGGAATATATGAAGTAAAAAGAAATATTAGAGCGTAAGAAAGTAATTTACATACTCAACTATAACCGATCATGAAATAATTACACAATTTTAACAATCTTTTCAGAAGCCATTTTTATTCTTCTAATAGTTTTTTTTTCCTGCTCTTTTGATAAATCTCATAGGTATTACTCTTCATATGAGTATGACTTTTTGAAGTTACTAAGTTAGCGTTGGGTGGGTTTAATATGGATTTATACTTTCTATAAAATTCTCTTGACAATTTAGACCATGACAATAATATACTTGATTTATCGGAAGACTTGTATAATAAGCAAGATTTCAAATTCATTTTGAAGACGTTAATCCCAATTTTCAGTGATGTATAAAACTTCAAAATGTATACGTACAGGCATTGAACATAGAGACTTCCTGTAAAGAACGGAGTTTGCTTGCAGTAAAAATATCTCCTTCGTATGATGATGATGAAAAGTAACATAGTTTAAAATATGCTTTTACTCATTGTATATTTTTTAGTTAATTTATTTGGCTAGAATTTGAAACTGGGAAGCAACACATCCAAGATCGAACGTTCAATGAATTTATGTATAATAGATCGTTCATCGATCCAAAAGGTTACTACTTCTTCAACGATTGAAATATGTGACCTTTTCCAGTAATAGTAAAACAATATCCGAGGTCATCTGACCAAATTTGTGTTTTTTACATAATATTAATCTATATATATATATATATATTAATATATATAACATAAAAGTAATTATTAATGAAAATATTAGACCCCTGTTTGCTAAATTGTAGGCCGGATACTTTTTTAAAATAAGTCTAAATTGAAAATTGCTTCCGAGGTCATCTGACCGAGCTTGCGTCTTTACATAATATTAATCTGTAACAAAGATTATAATTGGTGAAAATATTAGGCCATGTTTGCTTAGTAGAAAAAAATGAGTAATTGGGTAACAAAGGATTTCCTTAAGTTTTGTCATATAACCAATTTTTAATTTTCTCATAATCTGCGGAGACCGTTTTTGCTGGAAAAAGGTCCCACATATGTGATATAATCGCAAACTTGCTTTTGATTCTCGTCTATATTTGCCTTTTCCTTTTCTTATATAGGAGGTTAACTACAATTAGGAGATAAATTTACTTACAAAGTACAACGGAACATAAGAACATAAATAAAAACTTATTCCAGAATCAAAAAAAAATTTGATATATTTTTTAAAGTAAAAACAAAAAAAGGTTCTAGCAGATGAAGATGAAGAATCTAGAGAATCTAAAGATGTTGGTAAAAAGAAAAAAAAAAGCAACAGTAGTAAAAGATGAATTTTGAGAACCTGAAGATGTTGGTAAAATGGAAAAAATGAAAAAGTAGTAGTAGATGATGTTGTTGTTGTTATTGTTGATGATAATGAAAGGAAAAAATAAAAAATGTAGAAGGCATGTTTAAAGATGATGGAATGATTTGTGAACATGAATATGAATTTAAAAGACGATCAAGTATTTAATGGAGATAATGGTGAATATGGAGAAATAATTAATGAAAACGGGGTTAAAGATGACGAAATATTTAAATTTTTATTAAAGAAATAAAAAAATAATATAATAGTAATTTCATTTGAACGATTTGGAAATTAATAAATAAATTATAAGGCGCAAATTAATTCTTAAAATTAGTTATTCAAAAATATCAATGAAAAGATTTTACCATTTAATTAAATAGGTAATAGATGATCAAAATTGTCCATCGTCAATAATGATTATTATTGATTGATTGATTGATGTGATTTCCAAAAAAAAGGTAGGAAAAAACGTGAAGTTAAGAATATTGTGTTAATAAAGATAGTGAAAAGATGATTTTTGAAGATGGTAAATAAACATATTGTGAAATACAATTAGAATAATCTGATATTTATATCTTTGAATTTAATGAACTTGCAAAATTTGATAACTGAAATAATAGGAAAATAACATTATTAAATACTGATAATAGACGTACAAGAAACAAACATTAAATCAAGGAATAAACACAGCAAAATATAAATCTATTTTTACCTCCTATCTCTGTACATATATATACATTTATTATCTACGTATATTTATAATATTGCCGTTTAGTCGTTTGTGCAAACCGTTTATCCGTGCTTTCTAATATAATAAGCAATAAAACCATACAAAAACAAATTATTTATTACCAAAAAATTTTACCAAAAAAACCCCATAAAAATATACTACTAACCAACGTTTTTATCATATAATTTTTTCGTTGTAGAGCGAGTATAAAGAATATTTTAAAAGGGATAAACAAAAAAACTTTGAATATATTGCGAGATAACCACACCCTTTTGGGTCAATTACCTGCAAAATTCAATACTTTGGACTTATACCTAAAGGTAAAGACCAAAGTAGCCTAATCCACAATATGACCAAACTTTGCTGAGTGGCATAGTGGCATAGCAATTCTTCTGAGCACCACAAAAAAAAAATTCTTTATACTTTTCGTATATTGTATTTTATTTTTTTCACAAATATATTACATGTATTCCATTATTTACTTATATATAAATGCAATTGTTCTTCCAGTTATTATAAACAAACCTATTATAATAATTAAAGGGAAAAAATTTTTTTTAATTACACAAAATCCATTAATAACAAAAATTTAATTATATGTGGTTAGTAATTTAAATCCGCAACAGTCAATAAATATTCATATGCCTATCGCGTGAAACTTTTTATATTATGTTTTTAAAAAATTTACAAACTTTTTCTTTAAAAAATGCTTTTCAAGGTATTTAATAATGCGTGAATTGATATTGTCGTCAGCTTAACAATATTTGTAGAATGAATAATGCTAAATTTTTCAATTAATCATAATGATCGATAGGCAATATCATTCTTTTTCTCGCCATTTTGGAATATTATTGATCCATATTTGAATAGTCTGGTTGACCTTTTTTCAGCACAAAAAGCTCAACGAATTACTATAAAATCTATTTTTATATTTGTAGCAGTTGCAACATTAGTAAGTTTTGCATTTCTTTCATATATAGCATTTTATTATGTCTATATTCCAAAAATCGCGCACTCAAAACCAGTTCATTTACAATATCAGTAAGTATTTGTTTAATATGAAATTTTTTTGGAAATGGTTTTGGAAAATGTTTACATGTTTTTCTACATTATGATAAATAGTCAAGACAAATTGATTCATAGTATGATCGATTTCACTGAAAATGGATTATATTCAGATGTATGTTATTATTAATTATCTCAAGATTTTATTATCACTCTATTATTGGCTCTTGATTCTTATTTCAAATAATAATTTTTTTATTTCCATAGTTTCTATCAGCAGATCAAGCTTATGATATTTCAATTGATTTGGATGTTCCTGAATCGGATCGAAATGTTGATTTGGGTACATATACACATATATTGAATAATTTAATAAGCTTGCAAGCTTAATAAGTTATCTGGCTTGCAAGAAGCTTTAGTATATTATAATCATAACAAGAAAAATATTTTTAATAGGCAACTTTATGATTAATTTGGAGTTGAAGTCCAAGGATAATAATACAATTCAGTCTTCTGGTCGACCAGTAATTATACTCAAAAAATACAAATTTATGATTTTTTTTTCTTTTATGAAACTCTCTAATTCAATATTATTTTAACATATATAATCATTTTTATTTAAAGTGTATACTTACTTATAAATCCAAATTACTTCGTATTACTTCGACAATTTGGAAATTAATTCCATTAGTCTTGGGATTTGTCAAGGAAGATCAAAAGTTGAAAGTTGTAATGTTTGAAAATTTTATTGAAAATGGTGTAAGTTTGTTTCTTTCCTTTCTATTCCACCACAAAACAAATTTAATCATTCAGGAAAATAATTTACTTCTTCTCAATATAATAATAATAATTATTAGGATAGTCCAATGACCCATGCATATCTTACTATACCAGATAAAAATCCGGAAGTTTATAATGCAAATATACAATTAGACGCACATTTCAGAGGATTAAGGTATTCACACACACTTCTTTATGATAAATATATTTGTACTTGTGACTTATCCTCAATAATATTTTATTTGAATACTCCAAAAAAAAACCCAGATATCTCATGTATTATCATTATGTCTCAACTGGAATAGCCTTCATTTTATTATTTATCTTCTGGGAGATATTCTTTTCAATATTCTCATGGAAAATTATTGTTTCTCAATGGAAAACTTCATCATCATCACCACCATTAAAAACAATAAAATATAATGACAATGGTGGTGTTGCTAATAATGATGATAATGATGGTGTTAATGATGATGATGGTGGTGTTGGTGGGCGCCAAGAACAAGAAATTGATAATGACAAGTGGTTAGGAGTTCAACATAATGGTAAAATGAAAACATTAAGAAATCATCCTGATGAAGATGAAGAGCAAGTGGAAAATGGTGGATCCGAATTTGTATCAAATAATGATGAGTCAAGCAATATATCAGATGATGATGATTCTATAACTGTAAACTTTTATGAATTTTTTTTTAAATTTTAAAAAATCCCCAATTTCAAATTCCTAATATTTTTTTCTTCTTTATATAGTCACACTCAGAGTCAATGAATCCAGAAAATACAGATTATGATGAATCAGGATTTGAAACCACTGGTGAAGGTAATAATTATAATACTACTACAGATAATTCAGATGTTGAGACACCAAGAAGGAGATTGTCAAGATTATCATCAAATAACGATGATGATTAATTAGCTTTTTAATTCCTGTGAATTATATATTTATTTTATTAATTATTATTATTAATTATTATTATTATTATCGTCACTATTATTGGTCATTGTTATTGTTATTATCATTTAATAAATTATTTATTATTTTATAAATTATAAACTTCGTTGAGAGAAAAAATTGAAAGTTTGATGATCCCTTTTTGGCCTATATTGCCAGTTGTTCGTAAAAACATGTGATCTTAAATTTTATTAACCAAAACAAATTAACCGTCTTATATTTTTTTATGCGTCCGACTAATATTTGCCTAAATCAAGAATTAATAAATAAAAAGTCTATTTGAACATAATGTATTTCTAATACATTTAGCCTTGCAAGAACAAATATAGTTGGAACATCCAGAAAGAGATGGAGTTGAAAAGTTTAAGGAAAATAGAAACTGTTATTTCAAATAGTGGATGGTCAACAAAATATCGACTGACAAATATATTTATTACTATGTACGTTTTTGTGGCGTGAATATTGTTACGAAATGACAGAACGCATTTGTAATTAATTGTTTTAGGATGTTCAATATTTTATCTAAAGGAGTGTATGTTTAAAACTTTTCCAAGAAAGAAAAAGACAAAAAAGAAGAATTTGCTAGAGAAGACCAAGCAAGCAGCAACTCGAGAATGATACTGGTAAACTGAAATAGCAATAATATTAATTGGAAAGATATCATTTGGAGTGATGAGAGCGAGTTTAGAATATTTAATAATGATAGTCTTGAAGAACTCTAAAACAGATTAAATATTGAAAACCTTAGACCAACAATAAAAATCGATGGTAAAATGAACCGGCATGATTATATTTAAGTACCGGAAACAAATTTGTTGCCCTTATTATTATTAATTGGTTACGTATAAAATAATAATCATTATGTCATTTTGTAATAAAATTTTGATTATTGAAAAAAAAAACTATCCAACATCTTATGGTTAAAGGTCGCGTAACAACTCTTTCCAGATCGGATCATTTAACTATCTAAATAATATCATAATGCTTTTTCTTTGATTTTTTTGTCGGGAATCAAGATGTTAAATATCAAGTAAAATTAGTGTATCTGAAGGCAAGACATTTTCATTGGATCTTTTAAAGAACTTTTTTAAAAAATTTATTAATAAGGAACACTAGAATGGTTTTCTGGATTTTAAGTGTCGAGAATAATATTCACCTATTTGTTAAAAATGAATACAGTCAAACTTCGTCACAGCGAATTCAATGATTGGCAAAAATTTTATTTTCAACAAAACAATGCGAAATAAGATGTAATCCTTGGTAGCATTAGTTTTCATTATTTGATAATGACATTTTTCTTTTCAATGATTTAACGTTTTAAATTTAAATCTATTTCTAAATCATCCCCTCAAGAAAATTTAGGTATAGTGTTACTTCTCCTAGATTGAAGGAGGCGATCTATTTTGGAATAATTAATGTGTGTAGGGATGGTGGTAGGAAACTGGTTCTGAAACATGGAACCGCCACGTGATTTATACCTAATGTGAGTCCTTTAAAAGAAAAGATTGATAAATAATGAATAATGTCTATATATATATCAAATAGCTTACAAAAAGCATGTGCATAAATATTAATATTTAAAGGATTTTATTGTATATTTCCATTAATATTTATCACCTAATTAAAATATAATTTTTGGGTAATATATAAATTCTTAAAATCGTTTAAAAATTCTGGTTCCATAAAAGAATTTAAAATATAACAAACAAAGATGATAAAATTCGTTGGTGATTGATAAAGTTGCATGTATTGAGAGAAATTTGAGCAGCAGAACCATATTCCAATACTCTTATTTGATTGAAATCACGTGATAATTGTAAAAATCAAAACTCTAATATGTAATGATTCCCTTGAATCAGATTTGCAATTTATATTCAAAAATAAAGAAGTATTTCATAAATAATGCAAGTTTTACTTGATTTCACCAGCTTATTATATACATGAGGATGCATTGAAATTTTTTAAATGCTTTGCATAGTAAAAACCCTACAAATTATTAAAGTATACTATTTAAATCTTGTGGTGAAGTTATGAAACATTGTAATTATTTTTTCCTAAAGAAAAATTTAGTTAGGATGCAGTTCATCACAGAAAGAATTACTTCTTCACTTGGCGGATCAATGATTTCATTAGCATCATGGATTTTTTTTGTTACGAATCTTACGAACAGTTGATTCATATTGTAATGCTTTTTCTATTGCATTATCAATTTCTTCTTCTGATGGTTCTTTTATTTCAAGAATTGTTTTGAGTTGATCTTTTGTTATTTTTATATTAGATTTTAAATCATTGCTAATATCCAAATCTATCACAAGATCATATTGATCATCAACTCCATTGTTGGAATTAAGTGGTTCAAAGCTTTCAAGAAATGACCACATGATTTTTTTAAAATGAGGATTTTCTGGTCTAAGTGTTTGATGATGTTCTCCTCTCTCAATAACTCGTTTTGAATTAATCTCAAAAACTCCTTTTAGATCTTCTAGATTATGATCCCAATATAAAGCAATTATAGAAAGATTTTGATGTGCTGATTTCACCGATTCAATTAATGATTTACGATGTTCTAAAGTATGATTATTCCTAAATTAAATTTATTAAATTTAAATTTCAAAATATTAATAATAAATCAAAATTGAAGATTAGTTCATCATACCTATCTGCTATAACAACACCATTTGTTTCTAACAGTTTATTGATATCATTATAAAAATTTAATCGTCTTTTTTTATCATCATTTTGTACATGTCCAAATCCAAACAATTTAGTAAGTGCCGTTGATAATGATGTCTTTCCACATCCAATTGAGGCAACTGTGATGATCAATGTTTTTTTGAGTTCTTTATTTATTTGATCATTATCTAATTTTGCTAGTTTATCAGAATTTAATGCATCGCTTGTCAATTTCAAATCATTCAAGAACATTTCTCTTATTCTAAAAATTCCTTGATTTTTTAGATATCCATTGAAAATATCTGGTTCTGTTTTTAATTTTTCCTTCACCCAATCATTATATTCTTGAGTTAATTTATACTTGAATCTTGGTGGTTTCCCATTTATAATTGCTTTCGTTACTTCTCTCAATTCACGATACATTAAATATGGTTCCTCATATTTAACTTTGAAAAAGAAACATTCACCAGTTGATTTGTACTTTGTTCTAACTACAAATCCTTCAATTGCTCTTCCGTCATAATGCCCATCTTTTCCAATTTCATTTGTAAACTCTTTAATTTCTTCAACATTTTTTTTCATAATATAATGTGTTGGTATAAATCCCCATTCTTTAGCAAATTCATTAACTTTTTCGCCAGGCCATGTCTTCAATTCAATTACATTATAATTCAATCCATGAAGATAAAGGCCACTCATTTCAGGAGGATATGGCAAGACATGTTCCTCAAAACTATCATCACAAAGCTTAATTAACCAATTATTTATTTATTTACAACAAAAGTAAAAAATTATAATTAGCTTTTAAATATTAATATTATCAATAGTAAAATATTATTGTTCATATACCTCTGCTACTGCCGTCAATTTATTTTCATACAAAAAAGTCGCAAGATCAGTTTGAGATTTTCCTGCTTTGGCAAGATGTTTTTCCACCCATTCTTTACCTTTTATTGCGTGTACAGAAACTCCTTCTTGCTTTATTCCCAATGAATGTTTACTAGTTGTAAGAAGATGACCACCAGGAAGTCCACCAATAAATATTATACATCCATTTTCCTTAATTGTGAGTTCATAAGGACTTTCAGTATTAGATTCTATATTTTCCCACTAAAAAATATATTTATTTATTATCATAATTGTTTTTTTGAAAAACGATGACACATCAATATCAACATTTACTTACTTTGGTATCTTCTGTTTCATCAATATTAAAAAATTTATTATAACCACGAATAACTATTTCATATTTTTCCTCTTCAGTTTTTCTAGTAAATAGTCCTCTAGCCATAATAGGAACGAGGCCTTTTTTATAATCCCATTCATTCATCCTCCACGATGATATAGTTAGACCTGAAGGCTCATGAACATAATCTGTTTTTTTTACACTTTTAGTTCGTCTAGTCATTCCAGTAGGTTTTTTTATATTATAAAGTGATTTAACAAGCTCATGAGCCTTTTGTCTATCGTCCTCGCTTACTTTATACATTTCGAGTTTTAAATTAGATGATTTTTGTTTTATTTTAGATAATAATAAAACTAGAAAAAAGATTTTTTGAGAATTCCTGCGGATAATATCAAGTGTACTACAAACGTGTACATAAATCTTTATTTACTATTACTATTACTTGCAAAAATGTCTAATTCAAGTTTTTCTAAACCTCTTCAAAATAATTATTTAAATGTATATGTTTATAACAATTAATCTGCTGTACAAAAAAATTAGTAGGATCACTAAAACACTTTCATATCATTTACAAAATTATCTCTAGACATTTGACATTTACAAAAATCAATGAAATACAACAAGTAGCAATGCTAAACATTGCGTTGAAGGTAGTTGGTTGACATATTTATTTGGTTATTTTTTAGTTAAAGTATTTTCAGCTAAAAAATCACCGTAAAAATTTAATGTTCTCGGGAACTGATTCTCAAATATTTGATAAGTGTACTTTCATGTCTTGTGGTCTTCCACTGCCCTTTTTTTTCCCACGCCATTTACAAGGAGTCTTATAATGACCATTTTCTCGATGGAGCTTCTTTCTTGATTGTCACAAACAATAATCCATTATCTGTTTTTTCGATGTTGGACGTTATCACTTAATCAAATAGTCACCAGTTCTACAGGTTTCACCAATTATAAATGGTAGTGAAACCGTTGAAGTTTTGTCTATTTATGTACTTCGTGTAATAATATTTTTTTTAATAAATTAAAATGTCTAAATATTCACCTTTAAATACCTCTGAAGAAGAACCTACAAATATTTCATCAACAGATACCTCTACAAAAAAAACACACGGTCATCATAATAAAAATAGTGGTTGTAAATCAATTTATTGGATAATTGCTTTATCTTTTGTAGTTGGTGTTGCCATTTTATCAACTTTTCCTCCTTGGTTCTATTTAAATAATCAGCAACCAACTACACCCATACAAACTGATATAACTGACATAACATCTCCACCACCATCACAAGAATCAACAACAACAACTGGACATGGAAGAGTAATAGCCACTTATTTTCCTTCTTGGTCAATATATGGACGAAAATTTTTTATACAAGACTTGGACTTTGATAAGATTACTCATATATTATACGCGTTTGCAAATTTTAAAAGTGATGGCGATGTATTTTTGGGTGACTCATGGTCTGACACTGATATTCACTTCGAGGATGATTCTTGGAATGATAACGACAAGAATTTATATGGAAATTTCAAACAATTATACTTGTTAAAGAAGAAGAATAGACACCTTAAAGTCAGTTTGTCAATTGGCGGTTGGACTTGGTCTACTAATTTCCCAGCTGTTGCTTCTTCTCATAAATCTAGAGAAAGATTTGTTGATACTGCAATTAAGCTAATGAATGATTTGGGATTAGATGGATTAGATAGTAATTGTTTTTTGTTTTTTCTTGATGTTATATTTTTTTTATATTTAATTTTTGAATGCTCTAACAAAAAAAATTTTTTTTTGTCATCATCATAATCGTCATCATTGTTATAGTTGATTGGGAATATCCAGGGAATGAGGATGATGCCAATAACTATGTAAAATTACTTAAAGATCTTAGGGAAGCATTAGATCAATATGCTGAATCAAAAAACGAAGCTCAACGATACCTTTTAACAGCTGCTGTACCATGCGGAGAGAACGTTTACAAAATAATGAAATTAAGAGAAATGGAAAAATACTTGGACATTTTTTACCTTATGGCATATGATTTCCAAGGATCATGGTCGAGTGTTACAGGACATCAATCAAATCTATATGGCGAGGAGATTTCTATTAACAAAGCGGTGCTATACTACTTGGATCAAGGAATTCCTGGTCACAAAATTGTCATTGGAATGCCCGTGTATGGCCGCGCATTTCAAGAAACAAATGGACTAGGCTCATCATTTAATGGTGTCGGAGAAGGGACATGGGAGGCAGGTATCTATGATTATAAAAAACTTCCTAAAGAAGATTCAATTGAGTATTTTGATGATAAGTCTATAGCAAGTTTCAGTTATTCATCAAGTCAACGTGAATTGGTCACCTATGACACACCAAAAGTTGTCACATATAAAACTAAATATATTAGAGACAAGTGTTTACGTGGTGTAATGTTCTGGGAATTAAGCTCTGATTATCCAACTAGTGATGATCGTTCTTTGTTGTTAGCATCTTTTAATGGATTAGGTGGTAAAGATGAATTAGATAAAAATTTGAATCATCTATCTTATCCTAAAAGTATTTATGAAAATGTGAGGAAAAGTTTTGAATAATTTATTTATTCTTTTTATTTATTTATTTTCAATTTTCATTAATTAATATGATGATAATTGCATTTTTATGTTTGTTATTTTGTCAGATTGAATTAATAAATCATTATAAAATTTTGAAAATTATGTATATAGTAAATTGTGGGGATTGATCTTCACTATTAAATGATTAAATGTTTACAATTGACCAACTTCCAATTTTTTTTACCAAAAATTATTTTGATATATTTTTATTATTATTATTGTTTACAAATTTTTGACTAAAATCTGGCGCAGTATTCACTTATATCCACGAATTAAGGGATTTTACAATAATTTGGGATTTTCTAAATTCTTTAATTCAAAATAAAGATAAATAAAAAATTAAAAAAGTATTTCACCTCTGAATCTTAAAGCTTCGGACGCGGGAATTGCTAAACAACTATTCCTAGTTGATTTGGGCAATAAATGGCGTACCAAAAGAAAGACATGTACTATTTAAGAGTAATTATTAAATTATGGGAAGCTACTCTTGAATAATTTGGAAACACCAAAAAACCAATTCAATATGCACCTTGTTTGATCATCGAAAGTTGAAGCATATTGCCTCCAGGGCTCAAGTATTTAAAAAATTACAATCATTCTTTTTATTTTCCCTGCGTGCATAAAGGCTAATCTGACCTCATCTCCAATGATTTAATGATGCAAATAAATTTCGGGGGGTGCGGCTCTAAATATTGCATTGTTGCCAAAGAGGCCGTTAAAGCTTCTCACTTGTCCAAAGCCTCCCAACATGTGGAAAAAATTCTATATTTGTCAAGGCACTAACTTACATGTTTGTGGAAGGAAATTTCAATTAAATCTGACACTTGTGATCCTTCATTTTCTATATCATTCCCCTGTCCCATTATATCCTTTATCATTTATTAATCCCTGGATTATTTTTATCAATAAAATAATAATGGGGATAACAATGACTAGTGTTTATTTATCTAATAGAAAACCTCCGATGAAAAAAATATTGATAGTATGTAACAATAATAGTAGCTATGATGTTGATAACGTGAAAAATGGCCATATATTTGTTTTTCAAAAAAAAAAAAAAAAGCAATATTGTAAAATAAAATGCCAACATCTGCATCAATTATTTTTACTTTTATAATTTTTCTTCATTCTAGGTGAACTTGAGTGGGTGGATCTTTTAAATAGCATATAATTAATTTTTTCCCGTGTAGGCAAAGCCGTGTGTGCATCGTTCCGCAGTTTTGAATTCATCATGTTTGAAGAAATGCTCCCAATTTTTTTTAAACCAAAATCTATTTGATCAATTTTGATGTTAATTAAAATGCAATGATCTAATTATTTGTTTGCTCATCCTGATTTGTTTGTGTTTCTTATAATTAACTAGCTAATAGAGAAATACTCATTTCACGTTAGAAATATATATATAATAAATTTCGGCTTTAAAATAAATTATCAATTTACCTTTAAATTTAGTCACCCGATTTATATAATTAATATTAAACTGTATAATAATAAAAAACTCATCCGATTGTTAATGATTTCATTCATAAAATAGTAAATGGAAACAAATTTTGGTTTGTAAAAAAAAAAATCTTTTTTTTATTCGTATTAGATCCTCACAACTTACATAGGATTGGAAAAACATATAGTAAATGTTGCTTGTTAATAAATAATCAAATCAGACAGATCAAGCCATGCATGATTCATTGAATGTATTAAATGGTATTTAATGAATATAAATTTGTGAACCAGAGAAATACATCAATCAATATCAAGCAAGCATTTTTTTGTTTGAATGCTTTACCACTACTAATTACACTTTAACTACGCTTTTGAAAGTTTTATAGTGAATGAAAAAGAAATAAATTTATTCTTCGAAAATAATCATTTAAAGCAAAATTGTAACATAATTTATAAATTATTTACATTAATAATATATAAAAAACATATTTATTTATAATTTATTTGAAGGAAATTCAGTTTATTCCATATTTAAATGAATTGATCAATCAATCACTTCCATATTTCATGTATACATTTTTGAGAATAAACTGATTTGTCGAGTCTAGTCTGATCCAATTAATTAATTAGTTGATTGATGATGATTGAATGTTTATTGATGATGATTGATGATGATGGGTGTTCAGTTATCAAGGGTTATTTTTCTTTCTATTTTCTAAGATGATCTTAAGTGTGTGTATGTATATATATGTGTGTGTGTGTGTGCATATGGCATGTGCGTTCAAATTAAAAACCATATCCAACAAATCAAATACGTTGATAATGCAAACAATGCGATATTCCCTAATTCTTTTGATGCCAATTTCCAATATTGTGAGCTAAACATTATCCATTTGCCTTTTGGTTGCTGATATCTTTGCCACACAGGTAAAATCTCATTGTTCCGTCGAATTTTAACAAATGTATGGGAAAAGATGCATAATATTGTCACAATTAATAACACCAAATACCAATAATATATACGGAGTTGATTTGGTAATAGGCATTGTGAATATAAGAATGTTGGTGTCGTGTTATTATTAATATAACTGTTATTGTAGGTAATATTAACAGTGGAATTATCAATTATTGGGGATGAAGATGAAGTATTGTCTGCTTTAGGTGGATTGTACAAACTTAAAAGTAGAAATCCTGGTCTAGGCACACCCTATTAATAAATATATAAATATAAATATAAATATATAAATATAAATATAAATATGAATAATATTTATTAATAAATATTTTATTTTAAAGTTATATTTTCCTACCATTGCAAAACTAAAACTATTTATTGAGACTTCTGTTATTTCACCAGCTTCCTCATGCTTAATTTCACAATAATCATGATCATCTCCACTAAATACGACTGATGGTTTTATCTTGTCTAATAATAAATCTGTTATATTTTTTCTCACCAAATTTTGATATTGATAACCACGGCCTTGATTAATATAATTATTTTTTTGACGAAGTGGACCACAATCAGTATCACGTGGTCGATATAATGGAACATGAGTCAACAGTATTTTCGGAAGATTTAAATTTGAAGAATTGCCTAATAAAAATAAAAAAAGTCAGTTGCATGCATTGGCCTTATTATTGTTATAAAAGCTTCTTTTTTTTTAAAAAAAAAAACCTACCTTCAGCTATTGTTTCTATTAATGACATGGCTTCTTGTTTTGAAGCTTCATTTGATCCACTTAATGCGATAGTATCAATTACTGCAATCAAATGATTGCCAAGGTTAACCATATAATTAACTCTACCAAAAAATTTTCTAAATCTATTATATGCTTCATCAACAATTTTATCACCAAATCCTATATCATGATTTCCAGCCATATAATATATTGGAGTTTTTGTAGGTTTTCTTGGAAAAAACAAATGTTGAAATCTATGCAATTCACTTTCCCATCTAAAGGTTTTATTTATGACAAAAAAAATTTATTCTTGAATATAAAAACATATTGAATTTTACAAATATCGATATTATGAGATCAATTTTCATTCATACTTGTTATCATCCAACTCTCTTCCTCCATCCATTAGATCACCCATAAAAATTATTGCGTCAGGATCAAAAATAGTTTGTAAATTGATCCAATTTTTTCTCATATACATATCAGGATAAATTTCTGATATTTTTTGGAGAATGCCCGTTCTACCATAAGAATAATCATCTATTATTTGTGGATCAGCTATTAATGCAACATGAAATGGCGTTGCTATTGAAGTATCCTATTTTAGTCAATAAAAAAACGTTAATATTAATGATAAATCTTATAATAAACTAATATTTATTTATATTTTTATATTTTCAACCAACCCATTCTGTAGCTTCGGGCCAAGAGCATTTTTTCATTGAAAAAGAGAATATTAATATTTCACCAAGTAACAAAGCGATCATCCATATTATTCTGAAGGCTAATGTAGGTGAATGATTTTGAGTGCGTCTTTGCGTAGTTCGTTTCACAGGACTCAAAAGTTTTTGAAATATTTTTGATATAATCAGAAAAGGAAAGCGACAAATTCCCAAAAAAATATTCACACCAATGTCTATTAAAGAAGAATTGGTGGCATTTTGTGATGTTGTGGAGGAAGAGGTTTGCATGATAATAATAATATTATTTACTGAAAGTAAAGGATTGACAAAAGTTTGAAATAAAGAATGAATATTATTATTAAAAAAAAATTATTTAAACGCAAAAAGCGATTTTCAAGTGTTTTTTCCGAAAATTTTTTAGTGATCGACGTCGAATTTTAATTAGTATATTAATATTAGCCTGCCCCTAAATTTTTAGGAATTGACAAAATTATAATAATAATCCTCTTGAAAAAAGCTAATCAGAAATGTAATAGAAAATTCTGAATGGGTGGAGGCTGTGAATTTATTGAAGTTTTCTTCATTTTTGAATAGCCCTGCTAAAGCTTAATTCGTAATCCTTTCAAGAAGGAGTGTAACACAATAATTTTTTCTCCTGCCAACTCTAAATAATGTGTAAAAAAAGAAAGCCAAGAGAAAAGGTTTATACGAACGAGTTTATTTGTTTATTTTTTAATGAAAAAATGAATTTTTATTATATTATTAAATAATAATAAATACAGTTAGAAATGCACTCTGCAGATCATTAATCAATTGCTGACAATTTTTGCTAAATATATTAATATTTTGAAATCACAACATAGAGTGAAATTTACATTTACCATTATACAATGATGGGTAATTATAAGATTCCTTATCATGATAACAAATGACAAATGATTGATGTTGGATTGGTATGACACACAAAATCCATCTGAAATGCTAAATGTTGAATATGGGGCATGCTGCAACAAAACCAGACAAAGTGAACATTGGTATTACCAAGGATTTCAAGGATCAAAATTTAGTCATTTGTAATGTGATCATAATTAATATCCCATTTGTTATCTTGAGTGATATATAGAACTATCCCTATATAAAAATAATTAATATGAAACTCATTTACATCAGATCTACTATGGAACCCAAGAATTATAGCACTATTAGAAGTATTTTAAAAAAGGAACAAGGTGAAAAAATTGCACCCTATATTTTCAAAATAAATGATACTCAGGCAATTGAAGCTTATCTAAGAAAAGAAAAGATTATTTATGAATTTTACCAAGAAGAAAGAAAAATAATAAATGTTAGAAAAAGAAAACAAAATGAAAGTGTACTATTACCTAATAAAAAGCAAAAATCTTTAAAGGAAAATAACTATCATTTTCTTTGATAGTTGAAATTATACAGAAGGAAATAACCAAAAATTAATTTCTTATTTTCAATCAAGGTCATTTCTTAGTTTCTTTGATTTCAATTTGTGCAGTTAGTTGACCATTCTGTTGTAATTGTTCTAATTGGTTCTTTAATTTCTCATTCTCTGCCTCATAAGCATTTAACTTATTGACTAACTCTTGAGGAGTTAAAGTTTTCAATTGTTCAATTTTTTGAAAATGCTTTGCTTAGTTAGAATCTTTATTTTCTTCTTCAACAGGTAAAGCAGGCAAAGGTTTGCTGTTTAAGTAATCTAACCTTTCATTATGTGATTCACTATCAGCTAATTGCTTGCTTAGTTTTTCTATTTTTTTGCTCTTTTGACTTTCTTGTTTTTCTCTTTTATGTCTTCTGCTTGATTTTTGCTTCATTTTTCACCAACTATTAAGATTTTCTTAATTTCTTCATGTTCCATCTCCACTTCATCTTCCAACTCTTCTATCCTTGCTTCTAATTCCTCTTGCTTCTAATTCCTCTTGCTTTTCTTTTAACTCTTGATTAGTTTTTTCTAACTCGGCATTCCCTTTTTCTAAAATAGCATTCTTTTCTTTTAATTCCTTATTTTCCTTAAAATAAAGATCAAAAAATGCTCATAATATCATGCTTTGTTAGCAAAACTTTCAACAACATTCTCAAGAACAAATTCATCACTGAAAACTAACCTTCCAAATTCAGTCAAATTCCTTTCTGGATAACTTACTCATCCATTTTCAGGTCACTTAAATCTTTGTAATGATAATCGAATAAAGAATATTTATGAATAAATAATAACGAATTAATAATTCGAAGATTTGGTTTACGATCTATTTTTAATTTTGTTATCGCGCCGTAGATGTTACTCGTGACACTTCGTGTAACATCTCGATTTCACTATTTCATAATAGACTGTAATTAAATTACAAGCTGTATAACGATTTTTTTTTTGGTATGTGCATTAGTCAATAGATTAAATATGTTTGGTTTTATTTGTATGTCAATTCCAAATTTGTACAAGTTTGTAGTTTGAGATAACAATTAAAAGAGAAAAATCCAAACAATTTATTACATGATTCAACATTAATTTTTTATTGTTCAATAGTATTACAAATTGACAAAGAATTATGGATGTTTTCTTATTTAAAATTCAGTCATTTTCTACTATTATTCTTTTGGAAATCCAGTATCATTTTGATCAGCACAACTAGTATTAAAAGTATTTTGGTCTTATTTTACACCAATCTAGGATTTCAATCCAAAAAACTTACTATGTCTGAATAAGTCATCTAATGGCATTTACTTTTATATTCCCCTATAAATAAATGACAATCATTAGACCTGTGCTCCCATAAGAAATCAATACATACTTCAATTACATAGGTCATGAGGATTCTAAACCCTTACTACTGTTGTTACACAATATTGTTCATTATATTCTATTTTCCTATATATTCCAATTAATATAAATGTTATTTTTATAAAAAAAAAAATCCTAAAATTAAAACTGATATCTTACCATATACCATCTAATCCTGTTAATAAATCATGGAGATGGTTTCCAGTATTCATGTACCATATGCTTAACTTGTCACATGATCCTGCTACTAATTTAACTTCATCATACTGTAAAGTTTCTATTTCTCTGGAATGCAGAGTCAATATATGTTTACAACTATAATCATTAAAATTAAATAAACTCCAAAGGATGATGAATGATTTTCTAATGTCCAGAGATTTTCTCCATTATCCAAACTCCAAAATTTTGAGACTCCATCTAAACTGGAACTGGTGCATCTTTTAAATTTATTGTTGATTGCAACAGAATTAATTGCATTAATGTGTCCTTGTAGGCACAAAATACATTTTCTTTTCATAAAATTCCATGCTCTTACAATATTGTCATAACCATCACTAACTAATTTGTTTTCAACAGCTGCTATAACTTCCATTGAATCATCATGTCCTTCAAGTGTGCAAATAAGATATGGATTATTGTCATTTTTATCACAAGATAATAGTATACTACAGGGTTGGCAATTGATTGGTCCATTTAAGGCTCCAAACAAATCGAATCAAACTGGATTCCTAAAATTTTTTTAACGTCATATTAAATTTATATTTTTAATTTGATAATTTAAATTTATATTACACAGTGAATCTCAATTAGTGTGCCTCCATTTAATGAATACTAATGGATTGAGGTCTAAGAATGGTTTAATGATAATAAAATTCTTCTTGATATGATATTTATTCGAATTTTTAATAATAACGGATTTCTTGATATTAATATTAATATTAATGATCTTGTGTATTTGCTCTCAAAAAATAGTTGTTGTAAAGAATATTGAGTAATTACCTATCATATAAAAGACTACAAGTTTTGCTCCACGTTTATTTAGGTTATTACTGTATTGTATAAAAAATAAAGGCATAACAAAACAAATGAGTAAAATTAAAAATAAAAAAAAAGACGCGTAATGTGGTACAAGAAGAATAATAAATTTTATTGACCCTTTATTTTACAATTTTTTAAATGACGGATTTTAAAATAGGGACCAAAAAACCGATTTATCAAAGTAGAGAGTAATTTGAGAACATTATTAAAAAATGGCAATTATTGATCATTTTAGTTTCTATGTAATTTTCATATTTAGTATTTTAGATGATTTTGGATTTAGACATTTATTGTGGGTATATTCAGGTAGACATTCTTCAGCCAGAAAATAAAATAACAATAAGAGGAAGGCTATTGTATCATACTTGGAAGCTATTGAGATTTGTTATATAGCATGAGAATGCAAATTTTTTTTGTGTCAATTATAAATCAATATGTATGTTTGCATGTACTGTATAGGGTGGTGCACAAGCACAGAAAAGAGTTGACCTTGGTGGGCACTTGCATCCTTTCATAAGGTATTTTACTATAATTTAATATATATGAAGATATACATAACATTCATATGTAATTTTTTTATGAACAACAAATAATTAGTCAATCTTTAAGTATAATAAACCAATATTTTGATGACTTAATATTGAAGGATCAAGATGTTTTGAATAGTGATGTTAGCCGGCTAATAATCTGCATGCATAATTTCTAAATTTGGTAATAGATTTCTGCGTTACTTTCTTGTTATATATAGAAATAAAATTATCAATTTAGGTAGTAAACGGCTTAGCCGGCTAAGGATTTTTAAACGGCTAACATCACTAGTTTTGAAAGATGAAAATTGTTGGAATAAAGTATTAGGATGTATTCCTAATGAGTGTAAATATATTAATTAGCAACCATTGAGGATGAAGGAGGGGAAAAGAAAATGAAAATACTTGATATTAAAAATTTTTTGTTAAATATAGAAACAAAAAAAATACTTTGAAAAAACATTGGTTGGAAAACCCATCACAAACATCTTCAGATAGGTGGAGGGATATAACAGATGAATTAAATCTAACCATAAATAAAGGAAATTTACCAATGTGTGAAAATGAAATCATTCTTCAACATGCATATCCAAGGCTTGATAAGGCAGTATCAACAAACATTAATCATTTATTGAAAAGTCCATTTTGTGTACATCTTAAAACAGGCAAACATTATCACCATTCTGATACAGTTGAAGAAATTTCACTTTTTGGCATGTCCCGCATCAAAAATAATATTAAGAAAATTAATCATAAACATTCAATTTTTTAACCTCACAATATTATATAACTGTTTATTTGCACATCTCTTATTTATAATAATATATTATTAATCATGCGTTATTGCATGCATAAGATTTTATTTTGTCAACAGTGATAGATGTGATATCATTGTTATAACAAATCATTTAAACTCTTATTTTCGTGATTGTTAAATGATATTTCCTTTATATTGTGGAATTTTATAAAATTGGATCTTTTTTATTATGGATATCATGGATGTGTTATAATTATTTTTATTTTTTTGCTATATATAATGATGTGGTATAAATAAAAATAAATACATGTATACTGTTGGTGACGAAATCACCCAGCACAATAGTCCTTTTTAAAAGAAATTACATATGGAGCCTACTCTTTAATTAAATTTCTTATGATTATTAATATTAATTGCTAAAACGTATGTCATCCTTCGGATAATTTTGGCGTGTAACCGATACAGATTTCTGTAAATTTAGTAGAAAATTCCCCACATTGAATTTTTTTTCTTTTTAATACACTTCACCCATATCAATAATTATCCCATACCCCCTTTCAAGTTTATACTTGCTGCCCATACTATAGAAAAACATTATTTATAAAATGGTGATTACAATAACAACAACTTTACTGATGATGAATTGCGAGTTTACTATCATCGGTTGTCCCATGCAATGAAATTTTTTGTTGGTTAAATTATGACAGAGGTATCAATTTTTTTATAAATAATGGTTTATGATTAATAATAATAATAATAATATTTTTTGATATTAGCTCAGATGTGTATTCAAGAAAGATTTAATTCGTATAATAGTAATAGCAGTATCGGAATTTTTGTATTTTTCCGAAACTAATCCGAATCCCATAAATAACAAATGATTTTACCAATGCCCAATTTATATCATTAATACATTGAGGTGTTAGTTTGGTACTTTCAATAGAATCAGGAAGTATTGATTGAGTTAATTGATTGCTAAAAAAAAACGCGAACTTCTACTGGTACTTTTACATATAAATTACCTAAGTGATTTTCAAGAGCAGCAGGTGAATCTTTATACCAAAACTCCCCACAAAAATTACATGTAGCATTCCAATGCCCTTTTGAAATTTCTCTCCCTTGTTTGATGTATCTGCCCCATATAATTGACTTTGGTTTTCCACTAATTTTTTGGGAGGATACAGTCAATGTATCATCATTTGAAACAACAATAGGAGACTCATTACTAATGAAAGAAAAATTTTCTTCTGTAACTAAAGATGAATGGTCATTTATTATTGTTTCGTTTTCTTCCATTTTTAAATATTTATTAATTAAAATTTCAATTGATCTTCATGAAAAATTACTATTGGTCAGAAATTGATCATATGATTTCGGATAATTTCACCCCAGTTTCGGATTCGGGTTGGGCGAAAGGGTTAGTATTAGGTTTCGCCCGAAACACTAGTCGTACCACAACCAATATCAATCAATCATTAGACCAGTAAGGCTATTACAACTATAAAGTGACATCATGCATTACTTACTATATAAAGACTGGAACATTAAATGATCCAAAAAAAATATGTGCAATTTTTTCTAAACAATCTCTGTTTCACCTATCAGGATTCGACAACAATATTGGGCATTCATTACGAGATCGTTTGACTTTAATTCTTTCAAGAGCAAATAGCGCCTTTTTTGATAGGAGGAAAATTTAATATATGTATTTGCATATATATATATATATATATGTTTATTTATTGATTTATTAAAACTAACCATAATATTTCTAATTGATCCCCCAAAATTTTATTAATAGGGATCATTCGCCCCAGGACCCCCGCAAATTTCATGGACAGGTTACTGCCGCAGCTGAGTCAAATTCATATATTAATGCTAATAATATGACAATTTGTCGCGCCAATCATTGGGTGAAATTTTTATTTTATTAATATTACTTTATTGTCATTAAACAACTTCGGGATATATACAATATTAAAAATGGTTTTTTTTGTAAGAATAAACATCACCACAAATACAATATCATTGAAAGTTTATTCACACTAAGAACATCATTATTTTTACGCTCAACTATTTCCTTAAACTGCGGTGTTCCTAATGTAACTCTCAACCTATTAATGATCTCTACCGTCTCTACGGGAACATTAGTATTTTCATTCTTTTTGTTAATATTATCATGAAGCTTTTGTACTTCATACTCATATTTCTCCTGGGATTTGCGATAAATGTCACTGATTAGTTATAAGAATAATCGCCAGAAAAGAATATCAAAAGCATTAATTTAAGCATACAGTGAATATGAACAAATTGTCAATGACATTAATGAATTGTCCACAGGTTTGAAAGGACCTGGGAAGTTCTGTCTCGCCAATATCGAACATAATATAGAGTTCTGAAGCGGTCAAAATCATGATATAGCCCGTCCACATTGTCACTACCAATGTCATATACACGTTAGTATACAGACAATATGATAATTATGTGGAATACTTACTAATTGTTGCCACGCAAAAGTCATATGATCTTTTCCTGTCTTCTTTAATGAGAAGATCAAGAGCATCCTTCATGAAAGTGCCTAGTCTGATAAGATCCAAGTTGTTTTTCTTTACGTTATTGTTTTTTCCTTTCTGTAATCTCGCCAAACATTATTCATATTTAGATTTGTTGTTATTTACAACATTATCGATCATGTCCAGTTACTTTGCATGTGAAGGATCTAGGTTGGCAAGTTTACAAACTTTAACACTCATACTGCTAGGTTTGGCCATATGGCTGGATGTATTGAAGCATCATGAAAGAATGTACGTAATATTGGGCTAATGATGTTGACAGTCAAAGTGCCCTCATTGAGAAGGTCTTTCAGTGGCTTAACAGGAATATTTTTCGTTCTGTGAGATAAATAAAAAGTGTTATTACAATTTCTTATTCGAATCATTATTATTATTTCATTTTATTCGTTCATTCAAAATTATTCGTTTATTATTATTCATTTTATTAGTTTTATTCGGATTATACTGTATCTTTTTATTCAAATTATTCGTTAGAATTATATCTTTTATTATTTGTTTTATTTGTTTTTATCTATTTGTTTTATTCATTTTATTCGAATTGTTCATTTTATTCGTTTTATTCTTTTTGGAAAATATAAAATATTAATTCACAACTTGATGCAACAAATTTTATATTTTATTCAATCGTTTTATTCGAATAAACTTTCAATGTAATTTGAATAAAACTTATTTGAATAGAACCATACTACTACTAATTATTATTTACGATATTTTTGATCACACTTTTCACTCCCTGATTGTGATGATAATAACTAAATTTGATCCCTGAAATTTTTGGGTAATACTAATTCACTGTTGCAGCATGCCTCATATTCAAATGTGAGACAAATAAATTTTCTTCAAAATTGTAAAATGTCAGACACCACTGATCAAACCAATCTTATAAATCACAACGACAATCAAACTGCTACTTCTGCTTCTTCAAATGATAATAATGATAATAGTCAAGGTTTAACAGTTCCGTAAGAACATAATAACTTACTATTTTTTTTTATTTCACTTCATTCATGTTTATGCTTTCAAAAAGTTAACCTTCTTTTATCAAAAAATGATGAAAAGAACTTCAAACACACAATATAAATTATCTCGATCAGAAGTCGTTCATGGCATAGCAAATCGAATCATATATTCTAGATTTTATACTTGGTTATATTTGGGAATGGCCATTCTTAGTTTTACTTCAATTGTCCTAGTAAATATAATTTTTTAGTTTTTTGATTAATTAATTATTTTGAATTTTTACTATTACTATTTCTAATAACAATAACAACAACAACAACAACAATAATTTTAAAGTCTTTTGTAGAAGAATGGTAAGTTTTCCATGTCACCTATGATATAAATATTATTGATAATATATATTAATGATATAAATTTTTTGATTTTTAACAGTCAAACGGTAGCATTTATTACATTAGAAGTTATAATTAACACAGTGATGATACTGGAAGTAATAACACGCCTTTTAGCGTTTAGAAAGGTTTTGCAAATTCTATTTATTAAATTAAAATTTTTTTTAAAAAAAAAAATAATTAAATTCTTTTTTTTGAAAAATAGTTATTTTGGAAGTCCATGTATAATATAATAGATATAATTCTTGTATTATTGTGTATTATTACATTGATATTAATATTAGATGGTGGATGTTCTCATAAATCAGAGGAAGTATTTGATCTAATTTTATTAATTGCAAGAAATTTAATTCAATTTACCAGATTATATTTATTATTAAGGAAGTAAGTTGTTTATTACTATGATGATAATAATAATAATATAAATAATATATGATATTTATTAATCAAATTAATCAAATTTTTCATTAGAAATAAGAAGACTATAAAAGCTCGAAGTACAACAGTGGATTTCAATAATGTTGGAGATCCAAGTTTTTCTATAGATATTGATGCATTTGATCGCGAATTTTTAAATGAAGAATTTGAAGATGACATCCTATAATAATAATAAAAATTATTCTCAATATATAATAAATTTTTTTTAATAATTTTGTATTTCTAATAATAAATTTTCGTTTTATTCAGGGTAAATAAAATATAATAAATAAAGTAAATATTGAATTATTTATTAATTAATTTTATCAATTCCAATTCATACAATTCCATAACGACTCTTTTAATTTGTTATAATCCAAATTTTTACCAATCATCACCAATTTATCTTGGATCTCGTCATTATTAGCATTTATAGCAATACTTTCTAAATAATATAGATCTTGAACTCCTTGTATTACAATATATGACGAATCATTTGTTATTCTAATAATTCCTTTAAGTCTTAGAATTATAACCCTATTATCTTCTTCTTCATCAGAAGATTTATTATTGTTACTTGAGATTTTTTTAACATCATCACTATTGTCAGAATTAACTGCTGGTGACGATTTAAATAACGCTGGAGATGGAATAACTTTATTCCATAATAAATATTGAATCCAATTCTCTAATTCTTTAATATTTGAATTTTTTGGAAAATCTGTTAAACATATGGTTTTGACGTCTCCTATATGTTGTTGAGAATTATTATCAGAAAGAAGATTTTTTTTATCAATATTTAAATTATTAACTGTTATTTTATCAGTTGTTGAATCATCTAATCTTGGATATTCTTTTGTATCAAATGCATGTATATCTAAAATTAAATCCAATGGAACCCTTATTTATATAGAGATGATGAAAAATAATAAATATTTGAAAAAATATTGTTGTTATTTATTATTATTGTTATTATGATATTATTCACCTTGAATTTTTTGTTTTAAAAATCTTTGCTATTGAATTTATTAACCTAATTTTATATTTAAAATTATTAATATAATTCATGTTTATACACATACACATATACATACACACATATATATAAATTTAAAAAACCTTATTTCTTCTTCAATATTTTCAATTTCTTCAGAAGCAACCAAATCAATTTTATTAAGTATTATCACATCTGCTATTGCTATTTGTCTTTTATCAATAAATATAATTTTAATATTAGTACTAATGTCTCGTATATGATACATGTGCACACACTTATATATACTAAAACTTACTTTACTGCTTCATTTATTGAATTATCATCATTCTTCTTGTCAGAAATATACTATTTATAATCATAATAATTAATAACAACCAATGATTTTTTAATTAGAAAATGTTTCTTACTTGTTTTATATATTTAGCATCCACTAATGTAATAAATCCATCTAAATAAATATCGCTAAATAAATCATCATCTAACCAAAACATTGAAACTATTGGTCCTATTTAGAGGAAAAGAAAGAAACATAGATGATAAATATTATTATTTATCATTCAATTTATTGATCAGTTAATTATTTATCATCACTAGCAAAATCATTAATGTTCTATATTCACCAGGATCTGCAAGACCTGTTGTTTCTAATAATATGTAATCAAACTTTCCTCTTTTCTTCATCAAATTTTCAATTGCTTTTACTCCACTATCTCTAAAAATTAGTATTGGAAATATATAAATATAAATAGCATATAAAATAATAATAAATATAAATAAATATATATAAATAAATTTACTACTACTTGACAGAACAACATAAACATCCGTTCTTTAATTCTAACCATTCTTCAAATAAATCTTCTTCATCATTTTTTATTGTTAAAGATTTTTCAATGTCACTACTTTCTCCAAACTCATTCAAAATCACTGCTATTCTTTTACCATGTTGTTCATTCAACACATAATTTAACAATGTAGTTTTTCCTGAGCCTAGAAAACCTAAACTCGAAGTGAAATTCGATTAATCGATGAAATGCGTTATTAATTATTAATTAATGCTTATGTTTTAACTTACCTGTAATGATTGTTATAGGAACTTTTGTATCTTTACTATCGCTATCTTCATTAATTTCTTGTTTAATACTTTCACTATTGCAATTATCACATTCATTAATTATTTATAATAATAAATAAAGGTTTTTACTATTTAATATTAAAAATATTAAAGGTATAAATTATAAATATTATGTTTTTACGTTTCTGGAAAGATTTCAACTAATTCGGGTATATTTTCTTCTTCCATTTCAAAAAAAAAATAATAATCAGATAATTCCAAAGTGCGACTGAACAATTAAATTATAAAAAAATCAAAACGCCGATTTTTAAAATATTTTCAGGACTATCACTTGCCTCCTCATAAACTCACCTAGTGGGTTTTTTGGTTTAGATAGATACAATGATGGTATGAAGAGATCACACAAGAAATATGTAATGACTGGTTTTCCGAGTTGAATTTAATCTTTTATTCGTTCAAAAGACGATTTGTAGGTGATAAATTACAAATAGTTATCAATGAATTCGTTCCAAATCTAAAATTTAAAGAAGTTATCAAACAAACATTTTCAGAGCTTTCATTGGAGTGGACGCTTTAACGATCACGCAAGGTAATTGTTGACTATTTGACATGTTCTAATGAAAGTTATAAATAGTTGGTTATTGTGATTCACGTCCAAGTCTTCAACCCCCCAAAAAAAATTAAATTGTCTAGGAATTCTAGCTCAATGCTCTAATATTTATGTTATCGCATTATAGATCGTTTATGTTGCGGTTACGGATTACTACATTTAGTCCATAACAAAATGAAATCAGCTCGAAAAAGGAATCAATACCAACAAAAGTTATCTTTACTGAGTCATAATCAGTACATTATATGGAAAGTTTTAGCAGAGCGCCGAATTAATTAATTGTTCCAAATGAAATGAAATGAAAATTGAAAAAGAGGATTAGGAGATTCAATTTATTTTAACAAATGTAAAGCTGATTTTCTCATCAGAAATGATGATGGCTTTACATTCCAATATTTTCTAGAAATGATATTCTAAAATTTGAAATTTTGCTATAATGGTCGGGTTTAGATGACTCGAGCTGTACTATTTGGGCCTTTTCAATAGAAACAATGCTGATTTGAGTTAATACCACCTTTGTTTGTAACTCTTTAGAAGCCATACCTACTTTGCATAGTAAAATTTCAAGATATTTTCCTTTGGAGTTTCAAAAACAATAGCAAATTTCTTATATAGATCTTTTTTCGATTCTTATCTATTGAAAAGAGTGTGATTTCATTCATTCATTCACCATTTATCTAACAAACCCATCTTGAAATTTAAATCAATGTATCCTTTAAACACCAATATTCATATTTATTATCAACATCATCATTTTGTTGTTGAGTTCATTTGTTGTTGCTTTATAACTATTTTTTATCATTATCTTTAACTGGCCTGGAAAATCAGCAACAACTGGTATGATATACTTTTGGAGGTAAGCAATTAATGAAGGAATGTCTGTAATCATTTTTCTAAATTTTTAAGATTTAATTCTTTCATGTTAACTAAGTGACAATTCATCATTGATCTATTGTTACAACATTCGCACAACATACAAATCATATGTAAGATGCAAAATGAAATGTTATGTGTTTCAGGGTGTCCCAAACCCTCAAGCAAAACACTCACTCTAACCATCACAAATAAATCATATCAGATCATCCCATCATTTATATTTTACATCATATATCTTCACATTGGATCATCCCATCATTCAATCCAAACAACCTTTCTTGGCCCATTTTTGGGAAGTTGAACAAGTGCCAACCACACAATCTCTAA